AGACACCAAAGTGAAAGTGAGACCAGAAATTGCAACACGTGCACTCCTAGCGAAATTGTATATGACTTCGACAGAACGATGTAATCGCTCAAGACGCACTTGTCTACTTACTGCGAACTGCTGCCATCACCCACAGCAGCACTTTGAGGCTGTGAGTCTCCAAGGTTAGCAGCAGACGCTGCAAGACGAATACAAAATCTTGACAATGTCTTTTCGGCATCTATTGCGCACACGTGGTGTACGGCACGCCTCACAGTCTGTGCGCTCAGTAATCAACCATTACTAAAGTAAAAAGACGACAACCCCCGTGGCTTCTTGGCCGTGCAACTCGAGGTCACGGACTGGCAAACGTGACATTGGGTGGCGTGGCGTGGAGACGCAGGCGTCGAGGGTAGGGACAAGGGTTAAATAAAGATCAAAGGTACTTGAGGGGGCAATTGCTAGGGAAGCTCTACGGGCTGCAGATGAAAGGACATGGGATGTAGGCGACGACTTATTAGACGACAGGCGTCTCTAGTGCCTCGACCGTTAACCCTTCAACTCTGCTGCAACGTTTCTTCTCCTGGCCATCACCAACCCGCACTCACCAGCATAGCAAAGTATGTTAACAACAAAACAATCCCGTGAACCACAGCACTGCATAGGGAGGCCCTCATCCAGCAGCGGATTAAAAGAGCTGTCTATGCGCACGAATTGTTTATGCCGAGGTAATCGCCACACGAGCTGAGTTTGATGGCGCTGTGAACAGCATGCGGCTCTCCTCTGAAAGGCAATAAACCTGAACTGGCAAACGAGTGACGCCACAGCAGACTCTTCGTGCGTGCCATTCACTTTACAGCCACAATTTGGCGTTTGTAAAATCCCACATTGACCGGAGTGGCGAGCCGCGTGAATAGCTTCGAGCAGAGAATTTCCACGAGCGAGAAACGAACCTGAAATAAAGGGCTGATACAGCTCTAAATACATAAAAGACCAAAGGACAGAGAGCACAGATATCACGCTGCACCAAAACATGAGTAACATTTACAGATAACCATGTTTGTTGTTGTAATTGTGGCAACGTCAGTTGTGACATTTATTGGCCAAGGCACCTATTGGATGAGTTCGGTGTTTGCTAGATGTTTACGAGGGTAGTGCAGTGTAAGACGAAATCACCAGAGATATTTCATTGTGTGAGTGTATCGTCCCCATTCGAGATTTATTCGCGGTTTATGTTTTAGGTATTGCAGGAAGATCAACGATGAAAATAAGAAAGTTTAACATGGAGGCTTTCGCGACCAATATCATCCGTAATAGAGGTTGTTGGGTTGGACCGCGTAAATATTTGTCGCCTGATGCTAGTTGTAATTACTGGCCAAACGTCGTACTCAGATTGTAAATGCTGTGGATTTTCGTAACGAATTGGCATGTTCTGTTTACATGACAAACCTTACTAATTGTGTGTGTCGGGAGGTGGCTGGTTTAACTACACATTTATATTTACGCGATCTAACCCAAAAAACACTATATTATAAAAGACATACCATTCACAAAGATAACGAATTTTATAATCTCCGTGGAAAGAGTGGAGCCATACTCTGTTTTAATTCTGCATGGAAATGCTCCTGTACACACTCAAAGCGAGTGAATGCGAGTGAATGAAGCATTGCGAGTGAATGCTTCTCAGAGAAAACTCCCTCATCCCAACTTTCTCCAAACCCGGACACCCAGTGACTTTCAGCTGTTTAAAAACTGTCCAAGCGCTGGTTCTCTTAGCAGATGAACGCTGCTCTCACGTCTGGGTGTAACCATCAATATATATAGCTTACCCGTGTATCGATAATTCTATTAGGGTGTGCTAATTAGGGTGTTACAGTCCATGCATATTTATATGAGGCTCAATGACAGATCAGGGCCGCAATGACAACTCACTTAAGTCCACACCTCGACAATGGCTACCAATGTTACCAACATAATGCCATCCAACATGAGGTGAGATTCCGCTGTTATCTGAGATGGCAATCAAATCACGGCCGACCCACGACTATAAATAGACCAGGACATCAAACACGCGCCCCGGGAACCAAACGGAGTTCCACAAACCTCTTCGGACTAATGTAGAAACGCTCGTGATGGCTACGAAGAACGCCAGTGATTCGTTGCCCGAGGAACTCATTGATGGTCTGATACAATTACCGAGATTATGGCGAAAAGCAATCTGCTGATCACATAACCTACCAAAAGTGAATGTTGTGCATTGGGGAACAAATGATAACAAATATATGCAAAGCGTATTACATATAACATATACGTGCATAATTCATATACATAAACCAGTGCTCAAAAACTTTGCCGATTTTTGTTGCCTTTTGAAGGCGTTATTGACAAACGTGTTGTGGTTCGCTATTGGTGCTGTTTGTGTTGTTTGTGTACCACTGCCGATGCAGCAGATATCGCTCGCCACTGATGTTGACGGTGGCCACGAATTGAACTCAGGTTGTTGGGTTCGTAGCACTGTGCTACATGTTATCTGTGAGTTGCTTGATGGGGCACATTCGTTTTCCCAGCCGTGTATGTATGTTGAACTTCTTTCATACCGTACGTAGCCAACCGTGCTAATCGGAGGTGCGGCCAAAGTATGTCATGCGAACCAACTATAAATAACACGTACGATTTTAAAATATACTGGTTCTTGAAGTGACCAAGTGGTTCAGAGTTCATTGTTGGACTCGACACCGTTGATAGCCTGGGTACGAATCCTGGTTTCCATCGCCTGCGATTAAACCCGGTTCTTAGGTGTTGCTGAATAATGGTCTCAGCCCGCTGAGCGCAACGATGACTGCAATAAATAAACTTTGAAACTACAATATTGACGTTATGGCTCTGGCTCCATCGTATAGGTATTGGCTCAGGTGCAATAAACGAGCATCCAGATAAATGCACGGCCATGCCAGTCACCCACCATTGACTCCGCGGTGCTCTCTCTCGTGAGCGGGGTTGGGATTCACGGCGCTCACCATGGGCAACCCTCGCACCATCGTTTTGTTCTTCACGGCTCTCTTGGTGGTTTGCGCATTCACCATTTTGGTGTACCAAGAGTTGGCAAGGTCAGTGAGCCGCGCTTTGCTGCAGCCGCATGGACACGCAGCAGGGCCGTGTGTTCAACGCCACAAGTGGTTGACGCGCACGCAAACCGATCGGAGTGATGAGTTGAAGTGTCACCGAGTCTGTTATCGTAATCAGATGCATTGTTATTTAGGACGCCTTTAAAGTCCACTGTCAAGCAACTGCTGGACGAAGGACTCCGCCATGCCGTGTGTCGCCCACGATGGTTGTTTGGCCATACTGCACCACGCGAGTCAGCGTAGGGTACAGGGTCGTTTTGAGATGGAACTCGTCACTGATGCTTATCACTGAGCCATCGCTTTACTCCAGATAAATTATATCAATCATTTTATATTAGTATTAAGCTCATGCTACATGCATCGAATCACGTGTGTAATAATCTGCAATTTGTATCAGTGCCAGATTAAGCGAGTGCGGGGCCTGTAGCATATGTTATGAAGGGGTCCAAAAAAAACACGAATATTAAAAAACATTTTTTAACTTGCATAGTAAAATAATTGTGTTTTTTCATTTGCTATACAGCCAGATAATACGACAAATCGCTAACCTTAAACACCTAGTCGTTCAAAAAAGTTGAAGACAGTATAGTACTATAGTATCTTATATGATTATTTCGGTAAAGTCATGTAGAATGAGAATAAAATAATAAAATAACACAATAAAATTCTCACGACGTTTCGGCCACAACACAAGTGGCCTTCTTCAGGTGAAAGGAACAAACCTGTCGGGACGACAGAGCTCTGACAGAGCTACATGTGTAGTAGCTACTATGTGTGTAGTAGCTACTACACATGTGCTACGAGGATAATCCGGTACTGATTTGTATGCCTTTTCCGAATAAGATATAGTGGCTGTAAGAGGCTCATGTGACAACAACTGCAGCCGTTAGTGGCCGCTATTATAATTAATCAATGCTTGTATCGAATCACACCTTTAATTTGCTTTGTATTTTGATTTACTTGTTCAATAAAAACACACTGCTGTATTTTATTATATATTTGTAAAATCATCGTTCGTACAAAATATATTATTATCGTATGCCTTTCACTGCGTTTCAGATTGAACTCAGCGGATGTGGAACAATTGATTAATTTCAATGAATCGCCAACTGATGGTCTTCGAGCCAACAACCGTGTCGACTGCTGGGGTATAGCCCTTGTCCTGAGTCGAGCAAAAGGCAAAAAAATATACAATGGTAACAATATATCCGATTTACACAAAAGCTTTGGAAATTGGAGACAGTCTTTCTGAAATCGAGACGGCCTCGGTTAATTCAGGACGTTTGGAAGCTCACAAAGAGATCTGGAAGCCGATGTAGTGAGGCTAAATTTATCGCAGTGTAGACAGGAATTGCTATAAAACTTTTCTGCAGCAGAATTTTGTTCAATAAGCATTACTCGAGCCACGAGATGTCTGTATATATGTTCAACTTATTTCACACTGTATGTTGCCAGCCGTGATAATCGGAGGTGTAGGTAAAGTACAACAAACTAAGCACAAAACATATTTATAAAGAAATGCCTTCACACAAGGTGTAGTGTAATATAATGGGGCACCTCCGATTAGCAGAGTTCGCAATGTGCGGTGCAAAATAAGTCCAATATACACACATTGTATTATCCCTACCAAATACACTGCATTACAATATAAGATAAGATTACAATTTACTTTGATATAATCTTGAAGAAAACAAACCTTAGATTTAAGCAATGTCCCCTTGTGTTCAATAATCTTCATTTTCACTTTCACTGCCTCCTTTGCCCATAAACAGCTCAGGATGGCGTCGCTGGACATTCCAGAGATCCTACATCTTGTGGTTCATGGCGACCAAACCAGAGTCAGTGGCACTGGCTTCAACCCCCACCTCACCACCATGCACCACCACAGAAGTGTGGATGCCCCAGCCAGCCCAGAAGACAGTGGTCTTCCTCAAGACGCACAAGACTGCAAGTTCCACTTTCCAGAACATCATCTACCGCTTTGGCGAGAAGCACAACCTAACGTTCGCCTTCCCCACCCGGGGAAATCAGTTCAACTACCCACAACTCTTCAAACGCACATTTGTGGCCCAGCACCTCCACGGAAATCATGTTTGCTATGACATAGTCTGCAACCACATGCGCTTTCTGGTGGAAGAGGTGGCAAGCGTCGTTAAACCGAACGCTATGTACCTGTCAATTGTACGTCAACCAGAGAAAAGCTTTGAGTCCGGGTTCTACTACTTCCAGAACTATGCGAAAGCTTTCAGAGCAGCAGCAAAAAAGAGCAAGGGAAAAGACCCATTGAGGACTTTTCTTGAGAATCCTGAGAGGTTTTATGTTCCATCAAAGCAGTCCGCAGCCTATGTGAAGAATCCTATTGCATTTGATTTCGGATTGGACTCGAACGCTGATGTGTCAAGTGACACATTCCGCGCGGAGTTAGAACGAGTGGACGCCATTTTCCATCTCGTGATGATCGCTGATCGATTCGATGAGTCGGTCATTTTAGCGAAGGAGATGTTGCATTGGGATATGGACGATATCGTCTACTTGTCCTTAAACAAGCGACAAGTATCCAGTAAAACTGGCAACAGCACACTCCAGGGGACTCACCCCACGTTATCCAAATTAATAAGGCGTTGGAACGCATTAGATGTCGCCCTATACGATCACTTTTACAATCGCTTTCAACGCCACGTAGATGCCTTTGGCAAGGAGCGCATGCGCAGTGAAGTGGATACCCTGAAAAAGATGTGTAATATCTGGCGAGAGCTGTGTGTGGAGGATGAGGTGGAAGCGAGTAAGATAAACGAGAAAATGCTGAAGCCATACATGCCCGGGGTAGTAAAAATCCTGGGCTACAGAATAAAGGAGGGATTAGATCAAGACACACGGGAGCAGTGCCTCCGACTGTTGATGCCTGAGCTCAAATTCCACGAAATGCTCTTCGCGAAGCAACAGAGCCATAAGGGGAGATGATGGGAAGCTCACTTTGCCCTCAATGTCCACATCTTCACACTGTGCCACTGACACCATTTGATGTACATGCACGCTGGATTCTTCATTGCCCTGTGATTTTTGTACATTCTACAGCAAACCCAGGAGCGCACCTGTGGTTGGGGGTGTGACGTGGCAGCGGTGTGCGACGCATCGGGGCCGAGTCGGCCACGTGGGGAGCCCCGAATTAACGGATAAACAAGTAGCAAAAAATTCGATTTAAAGCTTTCGTGACTGTTGGGATTCATCTTCTTGGTTCTTTCGGTAAAGTCACGTAAAATGAGAATAACATAATAAAAATAAAACATAAAATAAAATTCTCACGACGTTTCGGCCACAACACAAGTAGCCTTCTTCAGGTGAAGAGACAGGACTGTCCAGAAGACAGCGCTCGAGTGAGCACTGCCAAGCTTGGACGGCGCCTTTTAAGCTGTGTGGGAGGAATTAACAAATGAATTAGCATGTTAATATGAGACACGTGACTCGGAACGGAGGAGGGGTGGGGGGGTTTTGAAAAATAAAAAGAGCACCATGGTGCGCTGCTCTGTCCTGTGTTGCTTTATAACTATGCTATTAACTGGACTACTATACGATATAATATTATACCTTGGTATACTATCATATCCATAAACAAATTCCACCTTCGAATTATACAATGCGTTCATATACACTACCCTCTACTTTAGACTGTAAAATATTAGACGTGTTATATTACACTATGTATTATTCTACCAACCCTACTGTATACCACACTGCTGTATATTCACTATACAATTACGATACTATATATTGCCTTACGAATTATGGTAAACATTACAATGTTATACTGTTTATTATTATACAACATGCTATAAACCCCCCCACCCCTCCTCCGTTCCGAGTCACGTGTCTCATATTAACATGCTAATTAATATGTTAATTCCTCCCACACAGCTTAAAAGGCGCCGTCCAAGCTTGGCAGTGCTCACTCGAGCGCTGTCTTCTGGACAGTCCTGTCTCTTCACCTGAAGAAGGCTACTTGTGTTGTGGCCGAAACGTCGTGAGAATTTTATTTAATTATGTTTTATTTTTTATTATTTGATTCTCATTTTACGTGACTTTACCGAAAGGACCAAGAAGAAGTAGCAAAAATGTTAAGAAAAATTATTCGAAAAACTATTCCAACAATTAAACATAAATGCCAAAAATCATTGCTACAAATGAAAAAAATATATTTCGAAAAATACCTCGCGTGAAATATGGTAGCACGACAGCTGGTGTGTTACTGAACACCAGGAGTTTTTGCTGACATTCGCATGAAAACAAGACGCACGATATCTTCATTGTATGTATTGTACCTTAAAAATCTTTGTATTACTACTGCTGTCACTGTGAGACTTTCTTCCTCTAAACCCAATACACGGTGCAACTACAATAATGTCCATATAGTTATAGCCTAAGATATTACTGTTTCCGGGCAAAAACATCTGGAGCTGTTTCAGTAAAAGTGTGTCGGGAGAAAGGAGGGGGGCCCACAGTCCGATCTTGCATAGCCGACCGCCCCCCCCCCCTCCGCTGAAGCAGGTCGCTGTGGCCCTGAGCAAACCCTTGCCCATCGCGGGGGTTACGTTCTAGAAAATATAAATAGCCGCAATCGGCAAATCCACGATCCGCTCAAAAGCAAATGGGAAAACTCGAGTTTGATTCACAGTTTGTAATATAACACCCAACCGTCCTTTTGCAAAATGTTACCCTACATCAACCCAATAATTTAGCAGGAAGTGTTTTGAATGTAAAATTTGATTAATATTTTCTAGTGTTAAATACAACTTGTACGGTGAATGTTCGGAACGAAACACATGATAATGGGAGATAACGTGTGTGGCTGAACCTCACTGCCTCCTCACCGGAGGCTGGGAGCACCGCGTGACCTGGGACCCGCGATGGGCCGTTTGTGAGGCGAGATGGAGCCGAGAGGGCGCCACGTGCCGTCTTCCACGGCCGCAGCAGCAGCATCGCGAGCAGTACAGTTACGATGCGTACGGGAATCTCGCGGTCAACCGAGCCACATGGGGCGCAATCAGCGAACTGGGCCTCAATGAATTTGGCGTGAAACCGCAGAATCTGTGATCGCTAAACATGCGAGAAGGAAGGGTTTGCTGTATTTTAATATTAACAAATCTATGTTACTTTTAGGGATAATTTCACTATTAAGGCCAAATGTTTAATTCCAAGATCTTCTTTAAACATGTGTGGCGTTCTCCCATAAGGATTGCATTGATCAGGAGATTTATAGTTTGTTAACAGACTTTACTTGTTAGTATATATGGATAACTTATTTCGCACCATACGTAGCCAACCGTGCTAATTGTTTGGACAATTATTGTCGTGTTTTCATTCACGTTAAGGACGATTAGATCAAAAGCTCATGTAGACTGCTATCCCGAAGCCTGCAGGATCTATGCAGTCGTGATGTGCCCCGCTCCTTGGGCCGGATGAGTGTCAGGTTTGAGTCAGGTTTGCCCTGAGCGTGTTGTCGTTCTGTTTGGCGGTGTTCATCTCTGTCCTGTCACTATAATCTACATTTGTTATGTTCTGCTGTCCCCTGGTGGCTGTTGTGGGCTCGTGCGTTTGTTGTTGTGGGCGTTGTCATGGAGCCGAAGATCCCGGGGGTTTGATCTTCCACGAAGCTCATGGTCCACCCTAAATCGCATCCACTGCACAAACCATGGCAGTAGATGCAGATACCTGATGCACAAGTGGAAAATTAAGAAGCCTTCCGGGGGCGTATGGGCGCATTGTGTCTCTGACGTAAGCTGGGGCAAGGTGGTTCAGAGCTTAGTAAGTAATAGGATTCATCTTCTTTGGTTCTTTCGGTAAGGTTACGTAGAATGAGAATAAAATAATAAAATAACACAATAAAATTCTCACGACGTTTCGGCCACAACGCAAGCGGCCGTCTTCAGGTGAAAGGTACAGACCTGTCGGGACGACAGAGCTTTAATTCATTCTACGTGACCTTACAGAAAGAACCAAAGAAGATGAATCCTTGCAGTCACGAAAGCTTTAAATCGAAAAATGAAAATAATAGGATGTTAAACTGAATCCGCTACTACACTGCAAGCCAGTGCAGAGTGGCCAACATGGGCGTAAGGCGATCTGAAGGAGGTGTTCTTGTTGTAATCCGAGCAGCCGCATTCTGAACATGCTGCAGATTGTTAAGCACCTCCTTAGCCACACGATGGGGCAAGCTGTCGCGATAGGCTGATAGCCATACATTCATTGAGACTTGGAGATATTTCTAGAACGTGGGTGTTATATTCAACAATCAAACATTATAACATTTCTGTACAGGTTTAAGCTTCAGCCAACATAATGCTATCCTGCAATGAGCTAGTACATTCGCGAAGAGTTATAAATGAATATATACACTATGTCTGTTGAATTTCTTTCGCACGGTATGTAGCCAACCGTGCTAAATTATAACAACATTTGAAATTATACATTTGTAACGGTAATCATCAAGTTAAATCTGTTAGTTGTTTACGTGAGATAATGACATCCATTGAGTGACTCAAACATTCTGGATAATTGTTTTGACCTTCTACATCTTGTCCTGAAGGTACTTGACGTAGTCTCAAGGGAAACGTCGAATCTATTAAATTAAGCTGTGAAATTTATTCTTCAACTTATTGGTGAGTGATCTGAATCAATAATAATTGGTGTGTTAAATTTGTGTACACCACGTGACAACTTTATTCGCTGTGTCAGATGGTACAAAGGGCTTCTACTAAAGTTTTGATCGGCTCACTGTGGTCATCTCACGAAGAAACCCAACGTAAATGATTAAATTCTAAATAGGGGAGGGGGTCTTTGTCTCTTTTTTCATGCGTAATTCTGGATATCCATATATATCTGAAAGCATCTCTGTGTATCATACTACAATATATTAGAACAACGTTTGACTGGCCGGTTTGCTGGAGGGACGGAGAGTGACATCCAACTGACAAGCTGGGAAACAAATATGACTATGCACGTTGCTTGATGTTGATGCCATGGGGCGGAGAATAGTTGAAGAGCCTGTAGTCTTCGTAATAAAACCGATACAGCTTCCACTTCGCTTCAGGGCTGAGCTGTGCCAGGTAGCTGCGAGTCATGCTGGCCGAAGAGCGCTTGTTTTTTGGGTCGGAGTAAGACATCCAGCTGGGTGCTCCTATCTTGGCCAGCAAGGCGGCCGCATCGCGCTGCATGGTCTCCAGCTTGCCGATGAAGTTGAAGGGCAGCAGGCAGGGCTGGCACAGTTTGTGGACGGGCAGCCAGTGCACGTCCTGGTAGAGTGCCCAACGAGGGTCCAGAATGAAGCTCACAAACTCGGAAAAGGTGACGTCGTGGCCCTGAAGCAGAGACTCTCTGCTCGGGTTTGTCCGGTAGTGGGCAATGATGTACCGTCCGTAAACTTTCTGCTTTCACACACACGTGGAGGAATGGGAGGGGCGGGAGCAATTTTTAGCGATGAAAAGGCAGACTTGCGTCAGTGATGCACGACTGTGCTGTAGCACAAGATCACGAAGACCCATTTATAATTGGTCTAATTATCTCGTTTGCGCCTAAGATCAATTAACCGGAATTGCGCCAGATCTCATCAAGTACAACATACATACACAAGTTCAACATACACACACAAGTTCAACATACATACACAAGTACAACATACATACACAAGTTCAACATACATACACAATTCATAATAAAGTTTTTTGGGTTAGATCGCGTTATTTATAAATGTGTCGTAACCCTCCACCACCCGACACGGCCAAACAGTAAAAAATGTGTCACGTTTACAAAGGACAAATAGTTCACTCACTACCTTAGCCCACCGGTGTGTTGAAGAGTGAATCCACAGCATTTACAGTTTGAGTACGACGTTTCGCTGGTAAATACATCCAGCATCATCGGGCAATTCGCCAGAATGGTAAAGCCCTCACTTGCTCCCGGTCTTAAATAGAGCAGCAGGGTGACGTCATCATTTAACTCATTCAGGTGCAGCGATTTTAGGCGGAGGGGGGGTATTGTAATTATATAATCGATTAGTAATCAGTCAATGGTTATTATTAGTAATGAGTTGTAGATTAGTTAACAGTTGCAATGTGTGTTATTGTGATTATATGCTACGTTAGTAATCCGTTAATTAGTATGCGTTTCCCCTATAAGGAATTGTAGTATGTATTATTTAATAATACGCTTCCAAGCCGCACTAAGCCTGTAGCTGTAAGAGCGATTAAAGTTATTTCTTTTTCTCTCAATTTCAATGGATTCTCTAATTAGTCTTTGCCAGTAATAATTCGTTTTACACAACACTTCAACGTCATCAAAATCATTGCGTGTCCTTGTTGACAAGCATGTTCTGCCACTGCCGACAGTTGTGTTTGAGATGATTTAATATTTCTTGGGTGTTCTTTTAGTCTTATGCTGTTGTTACGTCCCGTCTGTCCAATATAGCATCTGCCACAGAAAAACGGTTAATCCGATATACACCTTCTGTTGATAATTTAGGTAATTCGTCTTTAGTGCAAGATACTAGGTTTTTAATTTTGTGTACTGTACCAAATCTTACTGTAATGTTTTGCTTTTTCAAAACACGGGCTAATTTGTCAGTTACTCCTGAGATATATGGAATTTTAATTTTGTAACAATCTGATCGCTTTCAGCAGTGTTGCTTTGCGATCGTGATTTGGCATTCAGTGCTCTGTTAGGGGAAACGCATACTAATTAACGGATTACTAACGTAGCATATAATCACAATAACACACATTTCGTGACTGCAAGGATCCATACTCTTTGGTTCTATTCGGTAAAGTCACGTAGGTAAAAAAATAAAACAACAAAAATCACGACGTTTCGGCCATCTTCCTCAAAAGATGCCGCGACCACAAGGTAATACCCATCGCCTTCACACTCACTTCTGCTGCTGTGTCCTCACCGAACTCTAAACAGATTCTGGTTAAGGCCAGCCTCTCTTTAATCTCAGAGAGGATAAGACTGCTCCGTTTTGAACTCGATACTTTAGACAGGACTCTCCTACAAGCTCATTTAACGTTAACACAAAAAATGTCACCTTCTGATTGGAACCACGTAGACAACATGACTGCTTCTTCTGCCGATTCACTTTCAATCAAATGCAAAGCTAACCTAATTGCTAAATTCAACCACCTATCAAAGAAAAACCCGGTTCCACAGATCACAAAACTAGACGTTAACAAAATTGTTATCACTCAGAGTAGCACCCCGATTTCGGACAATCTAAAAACAGTATTGGCTGAAGGACTACATTTCGCTGTCACCCCAAAACATATACCGATATATGATATCATTTCTCAGGTCGATGTAGCCCTCAAAGGTATAGGACACATCCAAGCAGACGTCGCGAGAGCTGAAATAGCTACTATTCTTAAGAATGCTAAGACACCCGTTAGCAACATCAGCAAAGATGAACGCTCTGAACTCGCGAAATTAAAAGAGAGACATGATATAGTCATCCTCTCAGCCGACAAGGGCAATGCCACTGTAATTATGGATAAAAACTCATACAACAATAAAAATCAGGACCTTCTCAATGATGATAGTTACTCAAAAATTAAAAATGACCCTACTAATAGCCTAACTATAAAAACCAACCAGATCATCACAAGTTCGACCTCCCTAATTGAACCAACTAAACGTCCCTCCCTAAAACCTTCTGCTGCAAGACCCCCTAGATTCTATGGTCTTCCAAAGATTCATAAAGAAGGCACTCCACTACGACCCATCTTATCCACGATCAACTCCCCTACCTATAAGCTAGCACGTTTTCTGTTGGATACCTTGCTACCTTTAACTGGCAAGACCTCCTCAGCAGTACTTAACTCAGCCCAATTGGTTTCTATGGTCAAAGACGTTGTACTGTCCCCTGACGATATCCTTGTCAGCTTCGATGTGGTCTCCTTGTTCACCAAGGTCCCGGTACCTGATACCATTGATATAATTGAAAATTTGGTACAACATGGACTAAACCCCGAGGTACCTACGCTGGTCAGGCACTGCCTCACCAACACCTACTTCACTTGGAATGGTTCCTTCTACAAGCAAAATGAGGGTACTCCCATGGGTTCCCCCTTGTCACCAGTGATAGCCAATGTTTTCATGGAGAAATTTGAATCGGACGCCATCCAGACTTCCACCCTCAGACCTTCCCTGTGGAAGAGATATGTGGATGACACTTTCGTCATTTGGCCACATGGCCTCCCAGCTCTGAACATTTTCCTACACCACATCAATTCCAGACATCCCGCCATCAAATTCACCATGGAAGTGGAGAAAAATGGCAAGCTACCATTCTTGGATGTTCTGTTTGAGAGGAGACCTGATGGCTCATTGGGGCATTCTGTCTGCAGGAAACCCACCCACACAGAATCCTACTTGAAGCCTGATTCCCACCACCACCCAGCCCAAAATAATTATCTCATCAAAACTTTATACCATAGGGCTCATTGCATTTCGGACCAACACCACCTGACCAGTGAATTAAAACATGTACACCTGACCCTCAAAAGGAATGGATACTCTGACCGTACCATCCGCCAAGCTGTTTCTCCCTCCATACAGAAACAACCACTTGATACTCCGGTCAAAACCATCACACTACCATATATAGCAGGCGTTACTAAAAAGATTTCCAAAATTCTAAACAAACACAAGATCCAGGTCCGGTTCAATACAGTACATACAAATTCGTGATCTGATCCCATCCGTGAAGGATGTCATTCCTGACTTACAGTACCCCGGGGTTTACAAATTGAGTTGTACCTGCGGTGATTGCTATATCAGGGAGACGAAGCGACATGTCTCTGACCGAATTCGCGAGCACAAATCAGATTTGAAACACGGCAGAACGAATTCTTCTGTCGTGGCTGATCACTGTTACAACGCTGTGGGTGATCACGATATAATTTTCTCCGATACCAAGGTTCTTTGCAAACCCACGGGTTTTTATCGGAGATTTGTTCACGAGGCAATTCAGATCTACAAACACAGACACAATTTCAACCGAGAAGATGGTTTCAAATTAAGCAACCATTGGATAGATGTTCTAAATCGAACTAAACATTAAACTAATTTTCATTGGTACAGTATATTTTTTCAAGTAGTGGTACCCCAAACTTTCTCAGCACAGGCTGGTGCACTGCCGGTGCCGATCACTGTGCTACACCTTTCATCATGACAAGTCCGCCAATCAAATGCTAATTTTTACGCTAATTCCTTTGTCAAGGCACCTTAATCCCTCTCACACAGCTTAAAGGTGCACTGCCGCATGCTACACCTTTCATCATGCTAAGTCCGCCAATCAAATGCTAATTTTGTATGCTAATTCCTTTGTCGAGGAACCTTAATCCCTCTCACACAGCTTAAAGGTCGCAGTCTGAGCTTGGCTCTGTTTCACTCCAGCGCAGTCTTCGAAACAGGCTGGTCCCTTCACCTGATATGAAGGCTGCTTGTGTTGTGGCCGAAACGTCGTGATTTTTGTTGTTTTATATTTTTTACCCACGTGACTTTACCGAATAGAACCAAAGAGTATGTAATGTGGCACTTTTTGGAGATTGATTTAGCGCAGTCTATTTTGTCCGAAGTGTAAACAGTGTTGTATATGAGCCTTTTCCAAAATTGATATTAACAATAATATTTGCCGTTATATATAATATATTTTTTTAACAAACGAAAAAAATAATTAATAAACCCCGTAAGCCAGGCACACGAAAAACCAGGTGTCGGTCATAAACAGGTCATTAATAAGTAAAGAAATAATAAAACTCTCGAGGCGAGGATGTTAGCAGCTATCTGCGAAGATCTCCAGATGAACAAGAGTTTGATGTGCCCTAAGGGAGGTCACGCAGAGGGAAGCCCTCCACAAGCCAGAAATGAGGACGCCCACGGGTTAAACTATTTTTTTTAAACAACGGTTCAAATTTAAAATGCAATAACAAGAATAAGCTAAAGTTAGCAGTCCTCGCAGCTCACTCCAATCAAGACCAGGCCACCAGATACATCAGTGAATTATTATCCAATAATTAATTCGCTATCAAATGATTTTCACCTTTAATACTTTTACTGTTAAAACAAAGCTTGGAGACAAAATACCGAGTCACATCAAAGGTTATCGAGAAGGAATGAGGCGAACGGGCAAACTTACGAAAGAGTTTAAACAATATCCCAAGCAACCCCGACCACCTTTGTCTCTCTCACAGCGCGGAGAAGCAGGAATTACACCTTATGACAAGGGGCCATCTGGAAAAGCCAGCCGGGTTTGATGAGGAGACACACCCCACTCCACACACGGCAACCAGACAAACAGGTTTTAAAGAAATTGCAATATAACATTAATAATAACGTGTTAACCTTAAACGATATTCCATTATAGAACCTTACAGAACCAAGGGATATGGATTCCAACAATCTGGAAACGGACCTCTTAAACTCAGGATGAAAATTATTTTTCTTTTTAATAATTCCATCATAACAATTCGAACCTCGGTAAACCGAGAGGTGTCGGGAGGGCGTAGTTACAAACACGAGTCGTGGCGAACATGGGACCAAATGGTATTTGAGAAATATAAGTCGAAAGTATAAAGAGATAGGTGCTCCCGATCACCTTTGTCTCTCCCGAAGAGCGCGAGAGAGGAATTTTACCCCAGGGCAAACAGATCGTTATCGCAGGAGCCATCTGTACACACACACACACGAACTCACACACACAGACCCCGCCCCCCCCCTTTTTCCACTGCGCAGAGAGAATTGTCTTTGAATATAACGGTCAGCCGCATTTTCAAAAGTCAGTGAAGTTAAGTCAAGAGTCAAGACAGATCAGCGAGTCAAGACGTCCACAGGACAAGCAGTCGCATGGAGCGGCTGGCTCCGAGCCTCGCTGAGTAGCGAGGATCGCTGAGTCGCGATGTATCAACAAAAGTGAGTCATACAGCAGTGGAGGAAACCTGCTGTCAGCGAACCAGCACGGGCGCGTTCGCGCACTTCAACAGAGAGAGCACGTGCGACTCAACTCACTCAACTGAAGAAAAAGCTTGGCCAGCCGCCAACAAAGTATCAGCGAATCAGAGCTGAGAGCGCTCGAGCACGTGCAACGTGGCTCAACCAGCAGCGGAAAAGCACGAGCAGCCCCCAACAACTTCAGCAAACCAGTGACCAAGCGCGTGCGACTTGAGTCATACAGCAGTGGAGGAAACCTGCTGTCAGAGAGCCGCCAACAACCTCAACAAGCAAGAGCGTGCAACAGCTCAGCCAACAGTGGAGAGAAACTGCTATCAGCGAACCAGCACGGGCGCGTTCGCGCATCTTCAAGGAGAGGGAGCGCGCGCCACCAGCGTGCCACCAACACCAGCAACAGCGCGCCACCAGCGTGCCACCAGCGTGCTACAGCGCGCAACTTCGCGTCACCAGGGCTGAGAGGGAAGCGGCCCCGCACTCAACACCCATCGGCGCGACGACGGCGAGCGTCGTGCTGACTCATCCAGCCAGCGGTGGACAGAAACTGGCAGTCGTTCGTATGCCCCCCACACTCTCCCCCCCCTCCTCACTCCCCCACCGCTACACAACGAACAAACATTGTTTTGACAAGGAAATCAACCTAGGCGTTTGCTCAACGCAGAAATCAACAACGCTCCCATTAAACATACAAGACTCATGATAACTGCGTCAACTATTAGCTGATAACGAAAAACATCGCCACCCATTGAGTTACGTTGATGAGGCAATCAGAATTCTTTCAGTCGAACGCTTTAATTGCATAATCGTTGATGAATCAATGATCGAACATCGCCGTGGTACTGTGCTGACGATTTCAAGCATAATAATTTCGCATATCAGAATGTGTTAAGGATTGGATACGAATCAAAGACCGAGTGCCGTGTTGTGTAATCATTCAAGAATACGAGTTTGCATATTATAAGGTTAAGGTTTTGATAGAATAGTTCGCATTAAATTTTGATTTAAAGCTTTCGTGACTACAGTAATTCATATTCTTAGTTTTTTCGGTAAAGTCACGTTGAAGAGAAACAACAAAATAACAAAATATATATAAAACAATAAAAAATTCTCACGACGTTTCGACCATAACTCAAACGGTCATCATCAGGTGTGTCGGTTTGCATACATTTATTTTTAAAACGGCACATTTATTTATTTATAAAAAAAAACGTTGGCGTCACGCGCAGCGATTGGCAGTTTGCCCAGGACTAGTCCATCTATTTTTTTGAAAAGAGGAGGGGGGAGACGAAATTTTTTATAATGTATGCTGTCTGAAAGCCACTGTAAGCGTGAACAATCAATCAAGAACTGAAATGATTTATCAAATCTTTCCAATGATTGCTAAGATATAATCCATCTTCTCGGTTGAAATTGTCTCTGTGCTTGTTGGGATCACAAAAAAGATCTCCAAAATCTTGAATAAACACAAGATCCGGGTCCGTTTCAACACATTACATAAAATCCGTGATCTGGTTCCGTCTGTGAAAGATGTGATTCCGGACATACAATACCCTGGTGTCTACAAACTAAGTTGCCTCTGTGGTAGTAGTTACATTGGAAAAACCAAACGCCATGTCTCGGACCGCATTCGTGAACATAAAGCAGACCTTAAACACGGTAGGACCAACACCTCGGCCGTAGCAGATCATTGTTCTAATTCAGTAGGCTCACATGCCATTGACTTTTCCAAGACGGAGGTTCTTTGTAAACCATCTGGCTTCCATGAGAGATTCGTTCATGAGGCTATCCACATATACAAGCACAGAGACAATTTCAACCGAGAAGATGGATTCTATCTTAGCAATCATTGGAAAGATTTGATAAATCATTTCAGTTCTTGATTGATTGTTCACGCTTACAGTGGCTTTCAGACAGCATACATTATACAAAATTTCGTCTCCCCCCTCCTCTTTTCAAAAAAATAGATGGACTAGTCCTGGGCAAACTGCCAATCGCTGCGCGTGACGCCAACGTTTTTTCTATAAATAAATAAATGTGCCGTTTTAAAAAATAAATTTATGCAAACCGACACACCTGATGATGACCGTTTGAGTTATGGTCGAAACGTCGTGAGAATTTTTTATTGTTTTATATATATTTTGTTATTTTGTTGTTTCTCTTCAACGTGACTTTACCGAAAAAACTAAGAATATAATAGTTCGCATGTTTTTAATCTCTCTCTTAACAACCGATCGATTGCGTTACGCGTTGGGAATTAACCACAGGTGCCGCTATCGAGGTGAAACAACGCAATCGTGATGGTATCATGTTAACGCTGTGTTGAAATTCCAACATCCCGAGATTGAGTTTTCATATTATCCAAAAATTAAAGTTAGCTAGAGAATAAAATTGATTAAAGCATAAAGGTTGTGTGTGATTCTTCCTGAAATTCTGCATAATATTGTTCTGCGTATGGGATCTGAATCCTGGGGACCTATCATAAGCACACTATCACCACACATAATCCATAACACACATAATTCGTAATGTTCAATCGAGAGTAATCGTATCCTTATCGATAATACGGAATTAAAGAGCAGAGTCGAATCGACTCTCTCTCATTCACGCTCACAACGCCTGCGTCACTGCATACTATTAATTGCGTCATTCCAATTCATAACACAATCCTAGACACCGAGGCTCGACCTGATAATCCATAACGACCTGCATTATCCTAACCACGCCCACTCGCATACATTAATACGAGTATCTCTCGAATCAGCATAATTTATGTGCATAATTACACTGATTAACATAATTTCGGATAAATTATGCAAATTTCAAATTTAATTTAATTTTCATTATTTTCATCAATTTTCATAACACCTATATATACAACAACAGAGCAGAGCTCACTCCCCCTCCTCACTGTGGGAAGGGAAAGAGGGGCCTTCAAGAGAGGCGCGTTCAAGAGAGGGGCGTTCAAGAGAGAGAGAGAGGCGTTCAAGAGAGGCGCGTTCAAGAGAGAGAGAGGCGCGTTCAAGAGAGAGGCGCTTTCAAGAGAGAGCGAGGGGCGTTCAAGAAAGGTGCGTTCAAGGCGAAATAGTTGTTTTGGGGGCTGCGAAAAATATTTTCGGAGAAACGAATCCCTGATGACAATAATGAGCCCATTAGTGGGGAGGACGTGGTCCGTCTCTCTGCCAGTGTGCCCTGGTAGTGCATTGACATTCGCTCTTGATCACCTGCTATCATCATATTGTCATGATCTGCTGCTTATACATTTTCTGACAAGTTCGAAAAAATTGTAAAATCAGTTCCTGTATGCTCATAAACACAGCAATGGACACTTACATAATAAAACCTGAACAACTCTGGGTCAATTTCTGTCGCGAAAATACTGTTCCACCGTAACACCGACCTGGTAGTAGCCGCTTGTAAGCAGAAACTTGTCCCGGTAGGCAGACACGAGTCGCTCCATGGGCTCCCTCACAAACAGCGCCGTTGTGTAGCCACCCAGCCGCGAGCGCCGACCAGCCGCGTCGAACTTGTGCAGCTTGGTGTAGTTCTGGATCTCGTGCACCTGACTCGCCGGTATCGTCATTGATTGGTTGTCCCCTCGCGACAGTGCCAGGATAATCCTCTTCCAATTGGTGCAGCCGACCTTGGGCACTTCGCAATAGAGCAGCGAGAAGCGGTCATCCACGTACATGCGGTTCAGCGTGTTTGCGTGCAGGTCTGTGTACAATGGTGGCAACCTCGTCTTGTGGCTCGCCTCGTGTTGCCTGCACACTTTCCTTAGAGTCGCGAGCCTCTGCTGCTGTGATTCTTGCAAGACCGTCGCCTTCAGTTTCAGCGCTGAGGGTGTTTTCCGGATTTCAGCCGCGCATATGCACACATCCAAAATGAATGAAGAGCAACTGTGATGTGATGCTTAAACGGCTACCTCATGGCAGAAACATTTAATCTGCTGAACAGATGAAGGGCAACTGTCCTGTGGTGCCCTAAATGATGGCAATAACATAACTTCCATGTTTTAGAGTAGTAAGGTTAGATAGCATCATGAATGAAGACAATGGAAATAACTTGAAGCGAGAATGAACAACAACAACAATAGATTCAGATAGGTCTGGTCTGGTCCGAGGAGCGGAAAGAGAGATGGCGCAGGACAGGGCAGCATGGGGAAGGTTGGCAAGGACAGCGGACCCCACGTGAGTTGGACCAACACGTGGAAGATGAAGGAGAGGCATGGTCTGGTCACATGAAAAGAATGGCACCAATCAGGAATAAGGCAAAAGCAATGGGCGAGCAGTTGTCGTGAATGCGACACGAAGCACTTGTGATGGCTCAGTAGCGGATTCAACAATGTGTGATCCATCTTGACATATACTGTATCATTTTATCGAGGAAGATACTATTTTCTGAAAACCGATGCATTTTATAGAGATACATCAAATACGAACAATTATATTCAACAGTTTATTTATTTTAAGTACGAGTGAGGCATTCGTAGTGCCTTCTTTGGGGAACTGTATCCAGCTTAAATACGAGTGCTTATCCACGATGTGCTATTCAAGCAGTCATGCAAGGCAGTATACACACAATCGCCACCGTCCCTCAGAAATTCACATGGGAGTTGATCTCTCTCTCTTCAGCGCTGCACATGGTTAGATTCTGTACGGATCTATCTCCGCACCAACCCAGCAGGTGGCATATTTGGCAGCCACTCGCTCACCGCAGCTGGCTACTTCGATGTCGGGGCTCTTGCGCATTGCCTGGGCCAACCTTCGTCATTGCAAAACAGCACGCGGTACAACCTGAACACGCACTTGAGAGTTCGAATGTGTTTAAAGTTTGCTTACACAGCTTCCTCCAACACCAGCATCCACGCACTGTGGCTCGCAAGAGCTCTCATACCAACTTGGAGTGGGTGGACGTCCAGGAAGAGAAAGGGCACCAAGATGCCACTCCCCATAGCCGTGGCCCACAGGAGAATCGTGCCCTGCTTCATGTCCACAGCGCTGGTCGCGCACCTCCACCTGCTTGAAACGTGATGTGGAATTGATAGAGACGTGGCATGACAAGCGAGCTCCATTATAAAGTGTTCTGGTCACAGCTACAGGGGAGCACATGCGCTTATGGTGGAGAATAATGCAAGACATAGGGACAACAAAACACGACATCTAAAAGTGAATACTGTCCGCTATGCTATTCAGAACCGGAATCTCTATTTAGACCGGAGTAGGAATCCGATGAGCTATAAAGCTCTTTTTCATAGATGTCCAGTAGGGGTGCGGGGTCAGCGAGTTACATCAACAAACAACGCAAACGACGACATGAGTGCACGATAGAGAAAAGGGAAGCAAGTCACTAAAATAAATAAATGCGAGTAAAGTACAAATTTAACAGGCACATACATTCCTCCAGATTTGTCAACACTAAATGCAAGTTTGGACAAGGCAGAAAAACAACAACCACAGCCCCTCAATTACAGTGCATATTGAAATCAAACTCGGATACACGGCTCAGGTTCAAAGTGACAAATGTTGCTGTATCTGGCACTAATCTTCTGGTTCAGAATATTCTTTGAAGAAAGACTTACGATGTTAAGCGAGGAAACAAGGTTGCTCCAAAACTTTGGTGCAGCAGCGGCAAAGTCGTTGTCACCTATTCCAATTCGTGTTCTAGGCATAATTAAAAGACAATTAGATGTACGTCTCGGGTTTCTTTGGTTTGACAATGGAGTTATAGAATCAGATAAGTATAGCGCAAATTTGCCAATCAGGATTTTATAGATGAACATGGCCAGATGTAGACTTATACTTGCATTAACTGATGTGAGATTGGATTTTACGTAGAGGTCACAATGGTCGGTCCTGTATGGTACATCCAACGGAACGCATGAGGTCAGGATAACACATTCTAGTAGATAACGTTATTTAGCGCGTGCTTCACTGTCCACCGCGGTGTGATGGTTATCACATTGGACTTGCGATCCAGAAGACGCCGGTATGATTCCATCTCACAGTTGAGACGATGGGAGGAAATTTATCAAATCCCCACCGCCTCTATGCACAGAGCAGCATATATATAATGGGTACTCGATCATCGACCGAAAGGTCGCGTGTGGTGGGGTAAAGTGTGGCTACTCTCACTTCCATGAAAGACATCATGCCAACGAGGAAGAGTCGGCCAAAACACCCACACGAGAGTTTCTTTAGCGCTCCCTTCAGCGTTCGTGTTCCAAGCAGTGACGTGAGCAGGCAATTGCAGCGCCTTTACGTCTACCTAGAGCCGTCCCTAGGGTTACGGCGAATCGGAGCGCCCGCCCCGGGCCCGCGCTTTGGGAGACCCGTGTTTAGATGTCACGGTGTCAGGAAATATTCGGCTTTAGTTTGAAGGCGTCGGGGGCCCCGCACCCTTCCTACGGACGGCCATGCCTTTACCGACACCAATACCAACGATATCCCAGAAACATTTTGTTCAATGCGATGGGTTTCTCACCTCTGCCGCCCCTGGACGAGAGCTTGCAGGCAGATTGTGATAGCCACCAGCACACGCACTGTGATGCGTGCGACTGGACCGGTGTGTAACCAAGCTATGAGATGTTGTGTCTCTGCACGCCCTATTTATTGCTGACAAAATACTGGGGGGAGTGGATTCATAGCCTTTTAGCAAATAGAAATCGAGATGCAATGTAAATACTGTTTTGACGGTGACGTTCGTAACTAAGCAAACAATTAATACCTAATGGGAGTATTTCAATACATTAAGATGGCGTCATCGCTCTTTAGCAACATAACTTCACATATCGTGAGCATAGGCATAGGATTGGGTGGAGGATTCGATGCATCTTTGCCTGGCTAGATCCCCTGACAATGCAACAATACTGAACATTAGCTTACTGTTGAGATCATATGACCATGCAACAACACTGAACATTATCTTAGTGTTGAGATCACCTGACCATGCAGCAACACTGAACGTCAGTTTAGAGTTGAGATCACCTGACCATGCAACAACACTGAACGTCAGTTTAGAGTTGAGATCACCTAACAATGCAACAACACTGAACGTCAGTTTAGAGTTGAGATCACCTGACCATGCAACAACACTGAACGTCAGTTTAGAGTTGAGATCACCTAACAATGCAACAACACTGAACGTTAGTTTAGAGTTGAGATCATCTGACCATGCAACAACACTGAACTTTAGTGTGGAGATCACCTGACCATGCAACAACACTAAACATTCGCATGGAATGATGACGTTCGCCTGTGATCCAACGCGCGAGAGGCAAGGGTTGGTGGATCACGCAGATTTTTGTGAAACTGGCCGGGCTGCGAGGTGCCCAGTAGATGGCAGTGGAGGGAAATAATGAGAATGTCAGATACGCAGGCCCCAGTGTTTGGAAATGCTGAGCCACGTAACTCAGCTCCCGACCCTTATCTCAACTCACCACCCGCTGCGCTTTCTCACTGCATCACAAATAACCTCAGAATTGGTTTCCTAAGACATCATCCTCCACAAGCATATGACATTGATAATGATCATTCTTAAAGTGCAGATAGATATCAACCATCAAAGAACTCCAGAACCATCGCTCATAAGAAGTACCCCTGGGCAATTGTTTGTTATGTAAAGGTATCTGTTAAATCACGTTTGCTTCTCATAATCGACTGAGTGAAACTGAAGTTTTCTTTGCACTTGACACAAACGGTAGTAATATAGACACCAATAATTGCCCACATCCTTTCTGACATATGATCTATAATTGTAGACGTGAACTGTCGAGCTCCAGTTGCCACACGAGATGACCTGACAGTCCAGCTATTAAAGTGTCGTCTATATTTTACATGTTTATTGTGTAAAGATTACCTGTAACGTTTGTTTCTCTTTTTTTACAAACATTATTTATCCTCTGGAACGAAGCTTGACATTCCTGTCTGTGGAATGAACAACAGCAGCGTCCAACTAACATGTTGATGCATAGTCAGAATCACAATCCAAAGCTTTGCCTTCCCTTATCTGAGGGGGAAGTGCTGTTAACGAGTAGCACCTATGAAGGCCGGCACGGCACATGCAGGCGTGGCTGGCCAGCGCCAGACCCCGCCGCCTTTGTCTTCCCAGTGGTGATGTTTCACTCCGCACCAGCGCGCTAACCACTGCACTACCTTCGTTTCTGTTCTTATCAGTTTAATATTTGATAACTGGGACAACCTCCGCTTATTGTATTTTTTAGTGAGTACTCGTGATAAGAATGTGGAATTCCCAGCACTAAGGTCGAGTTCCCTTGCTCACCTAAGCACTTGGGCACTTAAATGTTCACCTGAACTCTAATCCTGGTCATTCACAAGTCATGAAAAGAATGCACTCATGTCAACCTGTGCAAACATTGGTTTATGGAATTGACGTAAACGAACTTCGCAAATGCCTTGCTCTGGGAGTTTTTATTTTGACAAAATGCGGCCGTTATCCCCCTGTGCAAAGAGCATAACGCACCTGAGCGTGGAAACGTCCCCTCTCGGCCATGCAGTAAAGTGTGACCAGGTATACAAAGCCTTGAATTGAATGCAGCTCCGTACATTGTGTCTCATGTTGATGCGATGTCACGATGAGCCTGCCTGGCGTTCAGAGAATTGTTTTAGATGTCTAGAGAGTACGTGGTGATATCTCGTTTTATCGACGCCTATCTCTACGTAAAGTTGCACGATTCAACGATGTCCCTGAATTAATTTACTAGGGACACAATGTTATTCTTTCAAACGATCCACACGTAAACATTACATCACACAAATCACCCATTTAACGACATCCAATGTTCTTGTATCATTTTAATAATTCAATGAGGTAACATAATATATCATAAGATGTAATTTAAAGAGTTTAATATGATAAACAAAAGTAAAGTTAACGATGTTACAAGTACAGATTGAATAACAGAAGAGTGTCTAGAGCTTAAGTAACTTTAGCTCTGGAGGTGTCAAACATCTGTCGTGGAATTTTACTCTCCACAGGCTTAAAATTTGCATTACCCTAAGATTAGCACGTGTCCTTTTATATATATTTTCGCATTCACAATTAACGTCCCATGAACATCACACCAACCGACGACTTGCACGGAATTTCCGTGACTATCCTCTGGATTATTACTAAAGTGGAACGCACCAGGACAATGTGTCCAGTCAGTTTAACACGTAGGCTTTCGCGACCAATATTGTCCATAAGAGGTTTTCTCCAACACACAGGTGTGCTGTATTAGTAACGAAATGTTCTGTTTACGTGACAAACCTTACTAATTGTGTGTTGGGTGGTGGCGGGTTTAACGATACATATATTTACGCGATCTAACCCAAAAAACTAGATTATGGACAATATGTCCAGTGTCAATATATAGGGATAAGATTTAATTTTACATATCGTTAGGCAAATCTGGCCACACACACCTAATTGGTTATCAGATGCACACCAAACTTTAGCTTTAAATATGTGGGGGGAAATGTCTTATCAAGAGAATACGATGGTAATGTCGCTCCTTTGGTTGATGAAGGGACGGTTTCCAAAATGTTACTTAAGACAGTAATTCTTGTTGATTGCCAGAATGATCACATCGTGAGAATCCAAAGAGAAATTGCCTTTGGCTTTAGACAATCAGGAAAAGGCATGAGCAGTAGAAGAAAGTATTGTTTTCACAGTTGACGGTGAGATTACGATATGTGCGACTTACAAACAGGGGGTGAATAATTCAATCAGCTGGACTGCTCACACGCACCGCCTCGGTTACTCCAGGAGGACATCAGGTCCAGAGTTCACGTAGAACTGGGAGGTCCTTCCACAGAGTGGCATACGGCCCTGCTGTGTTATATGGGATTGTAAGACAGTAAGGCCGATGAGATTCAGTCTCCACTCTTTTTCAGCAGGGTCCTGCCGTGAAACATTAAACCGATTGCTTTGTGAGTTGTGTTTGCACGTGGAACGCCACAGCACCTTCACGACTTAGGATCGTAATTCAATTCAAGAATCCGTCATTGTTAGGGTTCGGTTTTGCCGTCTCATTTACCCTGCTTCATACTTTCTTGGTCTCGGTTTGTTGCACTTTGTTCATTCCACGTGCCCACAGTACACGAGTGTATCATTCGATTATCATACAATGTGCGCGATTGATTCTCACATCCACAATTGGACGGATGCATCGTGAGCATAGGCATAGCTTTGGATGAACGATTCGATGCATCTTTGCCTGGCTAACGACACTAATCATTATCTGGATGTGATCCAACGCGCCAGAGGCAGAGTTGGTGAATCACGCAGCTTTGTGTGAAACTCCCCAATCATGCCGGGCTGCGACGTGGCCAGAAGATGGCAGTGGAGGGAAATTATAAAATGTGCTCGTGCATATGTAAAGGCATGTCATCAGCATAATCAGCGTCTGTGTCACATAAGGTTGAGGGGAGAAAAAATATCCACGTTTGTAAAAAATGTATGGGTGTCTCTTGGCCACATCTAAACCAAGTTGAGTGTCTATCTTAGCTTGATGACTGTTGTGGACTTAATTTACTGATGTTGTAGTCTGCAGTGGAACAACGCAGACATCTAGAATAAACACCTCATTCGAAACGCAAGCATTGCACCACCTTTTGGCATTCTACCTCGAAGACACCGGTGGTGTAACCATTAATCGCATGAGAACGTCAACAGGCCGATGCGCACATCTCCTTTATTTAACGACAAGCCACAGGAGTGCGACTGTGGCCATGCAACCCAAACTGTGGACCAGCCGCGTGGTGGTGGCGCCGGCCAAGCACGTGGCTTGTAATCCAGACAGTGAGGCAGGCAGCGAGGGTCGGTGGATCTGCCAAATTACAAAAATTTGCGAGGCTCCCTTTCCGTGGGCATTGATGTGCAACACCTTGGCTCGCCAGCAGAACGCAGGACAGAAAAAAGTGTGGACTCATATAATCTTTCTCTTCTGTATGGGATAGAATGTTGCCCCCTCGCACGGGTGGGTTTTCTATGGGTGGTCCGATTTCCTCCCACATGTATAATACACACTTACTAATTTGCTGAAAACATCTTAATATAGAGAATGTCAGAACAATTGTTGGCAGCGCCAGCTGACCGACTGCCTGCTGCTGCTGCCTTCCAGCTCATGCCTACTCAGCGACGATTGCTAGATGCAATCTGCATGAACGACGACGCAAATATAGAAAAAGAATCGCTAAATCATCTAAGTATCTATGAATTTACTTACGAAGACGAACAGCGGTTGCACCTCCGTTAAGCAATGAGAAAGAGATAACGCAGAACTGGAGGCACGGGCCACTGCCGCGAACCCGAGCCCCCCTCCCCCTGTGCACCCCCCCCAGCTTAGTGGAGGGCGCGAGGCACAAGGAGCGCGGTGCAGAGTGCGGCGAGCAGAGCGAGGGGCGCCGAGGCCCCCAACGCCCCCACTGCAGCCGCTCCTCGGTCTCCCTCGCCGCCGAACGGCTCGGTCGCTCTGAGCAGCCAGTCGTGCTCCTTCCTCAGGTTCTGCTTCATCAGCTCGGCACCCACCTCGCGATATATGGCAGCGTTGTACTGGTTCAGCCACTTCACCTGGGGAATGCAACGCGCCACGCACGGCAATCGGTGGGACCCGTCGCAGATAAAAACAGAAATCGTGACGGTGGAGTTCGCCGAGAAGGCCTGGCGGGCCAAGTCGGCTGGTGGCCATGCCGGAGCACCGGGGCCAGCGCAGCTGATGTCCTGGATTCGAATTTGGTTTGAAGCCACCCACTCGTGTGTAGTGAGTTCGCTTTAACTGAATTTATAAATAGACAACAGCACACTTTGAGAGCGTCACGAAAAATAAAAATTCCATCAAATGCCTGGCATGGCTTCTTAATGCTGGCGGTCCCTGTCAATGCCACGTGGATGAAGCTCCAGGAACGCATCTAGTTCATATATCGAGGTATTACTATAACCGGGGAGAGAAAGTCTCAAGAGGCAGATAGAGAACTAGAGAGAGAGAGAGACAAAGCCGGGTTAAACAGTTGGCGTGGTCTTCAGCCGGGACTTAGAAGTCTCCATCAACTGCAAGTTGCCGACTACTTCCAGGGGCAAGGAACTCCAGAGCCCATTGGTCAGCCCGGCTCCGAAGCCTGGAGCACGGTTAGAGCGAGGAGGAGGGCACGAGCGGTGGACCTCAGTGGAGTCTAAGGCGGAATAAAATTCCGGGATGTGGGCTGGAGCTGGTAGTCCATTGACGTCATCTTCTGGGGAGATTTTCTGCCACGATGTGAATTCAAACTGCTCACTACGCAACTACCGTGCCGTGACACCATTAGTGGAATTTTAAAATGAATGGGCGAGAGAAAAAAAATATATAACATCTGTAAAATCTCAAAATGCTAGGGCAGGAAGGATTGGCATCACCTGTCAGTTGCATTTCTGGGCAAACCTACGATAGTGCGTTACCAAATCTCGCTCGGTTACCCTGGGCGTGTGCTGTGGGCTCTCAGGGTAATACTCCCATCCCACCGTCAAGGCAGCTTCCACCTGATTGTGCAATTATTACTGCACTAAGGAATAGATGCATACTTTTAAATCCGCGTTAATACTCGTAAAACGATGCCACACATGCATTTTTTGTTAAATGTACTTATAAAATGTGAAGTACAATCAACTCCTTGAAAGACAAAACAAATAATCGCATCAAATCAACTAAAAATGTCAAGGTGATTTCCTGCTGAAATAATTAACATTGAGGCAGAGATCATGTCTTGTTTACAGCTCTGAGCCATTATGAGACCTCCTTTGCCAGTACCAAGATATAGAAATAGGTTTAACCCTTTTAACTGGCACAAAAACTGACACCTTTATTCAGGGCATCATGTCTGCAATAACCACAACACAAGCAGTCAAAATGCAAACAAAAGAGACAACTCTGATAATAATATGCACTGTCCTTGAATTTGATTGGCCCACACCCGAGACCGCTTTTCTTAGAGCCTAGTCTCCACTGGTGTTGGACCAGAAGACGCCAAAAGACGTACAACTCAAAAAACAGCGCACTATCAGAGTATTGAGGGCTCGGGGTGAGCATTTACATTATGAGACCTCCTTTGCCAGTACCAAGATATAGAAATAGGTTTTACCCTTTTAACTGGCACAAAACTGACACCTTTATTCAAGGCATCATGTTTGCAATAACCACAACACAAGCAGTCAAAATGCAAACAAAAGAGACAACTCTGATAATAATATGCACTGTCCTTGCATTTGATTGGTCCACACCCGAGACGGCTTTTCTTAGAGCCTAGTCTCCACTGGTGTTGGACCAGAAGACGCCAAAAGGCGTACAACTCAAAAACACCGCACTATCAGAGTATTGAGGGCTCGGGGTAAATGCTCACCCCGAGCCCTCAATACTCTGATAGTGCGCGGGTAAATGCTCACCCCGAGCCCTCAAAACTCTGATAGTGCGCTGTTTTTGAGATGTACGACTTTTGGCATCTTCTGGCCCAACACCAGTTGAGACTAGGCTCTAAGAAAAGCCGTCTCGGGTGTGGACCAATAAAATTCAAGGACAGTGCATATTATTATCAGAGTTGTCTCTTTTGTTTGCATTTTGACTGCTTGTGTTGTGGTTATTGTAAACATGATGCCTTGAATAAAGGTGTCAGTTTTTGTGCCAGTTACAAGGGTAAAACCTATTTCTAGCTCTGAGCCAGTTGTGGAAATGCCACATTCCTATGCCAGGGGCAAGTCTGTCAATAGTGCAAGTGCTGTTGACTTTCACACAACGTTGTATAGTAAACTAAATATTTCATACACTTGACCTGGATGCAGAGGGCGGTGATGATGGAAGGACGACGAGAAGGTGCTGTGGAAGAGTCGGTCCACGTTCTGAATGAACGTTAGACATCGAGCACGGGACAGGATGGAAACCGTCCGAGTTGAAAAAACAGAGAGAAGAGAAGTGACCACGACGAGAAGATCTCAGCGACAGAAATGGTCAAGTCCCAACAGCTCAAAAGTCCAGGGGTCGAGAAGAAGACACGTGTAACAAATGTCGCTGTAATACGATCGTTCCTTCGTGGTCAAGAGGGAGGAGACGCGTGGACTCCCCGTACCCCCTACCTGCTTATCGGACAGCAGTGACAACTTGATCAGCTTCTTCTCGTACGGAACAAGGGTCACAGTCTCGAAGGTCAGGTAGGGCTTCACTCCAAACGTGTACTGCAGCGGTCAGTCGGCGCACACACACGAGGTTGATCAAGAGGTCATCAAAACAACGGGACAATGCGGGGTATCGCGTTTGCTGTAAACCAATGAACCACCCCAGCCTTGTCCGGTATTTTCGCACGGTTTCGCTGTCGTTTTATATGGATTTTCACAAATACGACTTTTTAATAGAATAAGAATTTCAACTTGCAACGCCATTGCCGCACAATGTTTGCTCACTGTCTGCAATTTCCCAAGCTCTGCGGTCCTATATAAAGTGTTATTGGTAAATTAATGAGTGTTTACACGTGGGAGAAAACCAACGCATGAGAGGGGGAAACACTCAATCCCATACAGACGGAACAGTTGTGAAGTCCACATTTTCTGTACCGCTTTCTCTTAGCAAGATAGGGTACGGGCTCCTCCTGAATGCCGACGGGAAGAAGGGGGTTTCACGATGTTCGTGCGGTGATCCATCAACCCTCAATCTAGATTGAAAACTCATTTCTTTAGAAATTATTTTTGTGTTTCGTTTGTTCTCCTTCCCCTGCACCTCCGATTAGCAAGGTTGGATACGTATGGTGCGAAAGAAGTTAAACATACATACACATGCAATCGGAAAATTATCAAGATGCTTTACAGAAAAAATAATTAAACAATCGAGATGCTGGAGGAGTGTGGGGGAGAGTTAGTCCTTGGGCCAGACCAGATATCGGTACCACGCAAGGTGGCAACACTTCAATGGTGTCATTTTATGTGTTACACCAACAGAAGTAAAATAATACATGATTACCTTTCCAAATGAGCAGCTGTTTAATTTTCCTCGCAGGAAACCTGTTTTTGCACCTATCGCAAGTCACGCCGATCTTACATTAACATGCTAATCTCTCACACTGACATAGCCACTTGTGCGCCCTCATCGTGGAGGTCGCCCCCTGATCTTACATTAACATGCTAATTTCTTACATTAACATCACTAGCCCCGCCCACTTCGTTTATGACCATTGGGCTACACCCATTTGAAACCTTTAAGACAGTCTGCCTCAGCAGGTTTCCTCTGTTCTCCTCCTGATCACGATTGCTTGTGTTGTGATCAAAACGTCGTAGTTTTTTTGTTCTTTTCTTTCAACCTATCTACGTGACTTTACCGAAAGACCCAAAGAATATTTCATAACATGCATGCAATTATTACCAATAACTTTGTTATCCTATTTGGACACGGTTGAAACCTTTTGGTTCTCATCCGAGCATCCAGAGGGAGACTGGTGGGGGACCCACACGACAATGCCACCACACCATTACCATTAGCGGTGCGATATCGATGTTAGCGTGCATAATTGATGTTGTTTTTGTCATAATGCATCATTTAGACTTGTAACACAAGCAGTATCTGTTCAGAGGCGTGAGGAATGATTCACGGGTATTGGCCATGAGAGGGAATTGTATTTGGTTTTGGTGTTCGCAGCGCAGTCCGATCACCGCCGCACGACCGCACCACAAGCACAAAGACACGGTGACACACACACACACATGTGGAGTGGCACGCATACACACCGCTGTCTCTGCTTTTACGACCATCACAATGTTCTCCAGACGAATTCCAAACTCGTTGTCCTGGTAGTAGCCAGGTTCTGGTCATGGAACACAAACGCACATGGAGCAGTGTCAACATTAATAATCACCTATCTGCTGTGTATTGGGTAGTACCGTGTGCCAAGCTAGCCTACAGTGGCGTTCCAGGCAATATCTTGAAAGAAATTACGCTGTGATTCTTACCTATGGAGGTGAACATCCCTTCGTGCAGACCAATGTCGTAGGATGTCCCGATTCCCACAGGCCCTGTGTGGAAAGAGCGCCGAACATCCGACAGTCGCACACCACTCGCACTCGCGAGTGGGGACATCCACCGGCACAGCCTCAACGGAGCAACAACAATACCAACTACATTGAGACGCTGCCCTCGGAGTCTTGCACAAAGACAAATAGCAAAATAATATAGGATACATTCCTCAAGAGCCCTGGCCTAAGACAAACAACAACAACAACATTATTCCCACCATTTTAGGTGGCTCAGCAATTAAGTGAGCGGCACCCAATTGGAAGGTCGAGAGTTCAAATCCTGTTCGAGGTGTTGCTTCAGCCCATCATCCCTCCCAAGGGTTCATAAAACAGCTACCCATTTATGGGGGAGTTAACAGTGTTTGTTTTATAGATATACTTTCCCTGCCATAGTAGGAATGTGGAATTTCCATCACTGGCTCCAGGCTGTAACCATGAGATAAGCACCATCTAATTTCAGCAGGAAATCACTTTGTATGGTGATGGCCCAACTGCAGAGCAGTTCTGCTCTCTCAAGCTCTCACCCACACTCGTGTCTGTGTCTGTGCACACAGAGATGAAGATCTCCGTATTAATCTTAACAGACTGTTCGTGCAAGTGCTGTTGGGCGAGCACCTACGAAAGGCCAGCAGAGCACATGATGGAATGGGTGGCCATCACCACGCCCGGCTGCATTTGTCTCCCCCGTGATCATGTTAATACACTGCACCAAGTACTAATTTGAGGCCGAGTTGACATTGGGGAGGCAAAACATTAGTTCAGGTAATCGTCGCTGGTGTCGACTGTGAGCAGGAATCGAGCCCAGGTTACCGGATTTTGACTGCAGCACTCTAACCGCTACACTACCGCTCCCACACACTCGTACACACACACACATGCACTCACTCTCTTACAACAACCGCAATTCGCCACTAAGTGGCGGTGACATCACCACGGCGCTTGTGCCAGGCTATGTGCATGTTAAGGCCACGTGAATTGTCGAACGCTCGCTGGTAAGAGGTCACGGGACAGACCCAGGTGCCATGGGTCGACTGACTGAGATGACTGGCCGATGCACCACCTGTGCCCCCTACTGTGCCAACTTGCTGTGTTTTAACCAATCCGTCGTTCTGCTCGTTGTTGTAAGCGTTGCTCCTCTGCCTTCCGTTGTTATTGGAAGGCGACTGCCTCCAACTGTCCAGTAGCAGCAGCGTCCTCCACAGAGGCTGATCTTGACACTGCTGGTACCAGTCATCGGCAAGTCCACTCAGCCCCACGTCCTCCTGTACTACATCACTCCATCTCTTCTCTAGCCCGTGCTGCTCCCGTTTAGCCCCTTCTATCTGGCCAAACAAAAGCTGTTTAGGCATGCGATGGCTGGGCATGCAGGTTACATGACCCAGCCAACGCAGCCTTGCCTGCCGGAGGAGCTCACCGATGGGACTTTGTCCAGATATTTCAAGTATTTGTGGGTTCCTCACACAATACAGCCTGGTAAAACCCAGGATGGATCGTAGGTAGGCCAGCCTAAATGTTTCTAATCAGCTAAGTCGTGCCATTAGGGGGGTCCACGTTTTGCAAGCGTAGAGAAGGGAGAGCATGACCGTGGCCGAGAAGACCCAAAGCTTCATGTGGAGCAACAGACAAGGTAGTTTCCACACCGCGTTACGCAGCCGATGAAAAAATAATGCTGCTCGACTGATTCGGAGTAAGACCTCTGCTGTCATGAGTACTGTCCAGGTATGGAAAACTCTCCACAACTGCCCCATCACCAATTGGGAGTTGTGGGGTGGAGTGACTAATGGTACAATATACCCAGGCAGGTGATTAGTTTTGATTGGGCTGATGGTAAGGCCCACCACTTAGTGGCATGCTCCAAAAATTGAGCAGCAGCACCTTCAACTCCTCCTCTGAGTGAGCAGAAATCACCAGATCATCGGCATACATGACCAATAAGGAGCCATCCCTTGACCGCACCCCGGGCATCAATTAGCCTCCCATTGTATCTGCACCGAATGGTAATTCCTTCCAATACAGCCATCGAAGGCTTCACGAACAACGTGGTCAAAAGAGATGCAAAATAATGTGGGAGCCAGAGGACATCCCTGTCGCACCCCAAGGTGAAAAGGGAATTGCTCTAACTCCCGGCCATGTAGTTTTACCTGGGCCTGCTCACCATCATGAAGGTCCTTAATGATTGTGAGCAGAGAGTCAGGGGCTCGTAAGCACGAAGAACAACCCAGAGCCCAGGCCTACTGATGTTATTATAGGCCTTGACCAGGTCAATAAAGTAAAGATGTAGTTCTTGTTGGAATTCCCTAAACCTCTGTTGTAGCAGATGGACAGAAAATATGGCATCGGTCCAGGACTGCCCTTTCCTGAAACCACATTGGGGCTCCGCAAGCCTTTTCTTAGCGTGCCTGGCAAGGCGATGTTGAATGATCCCTGCCAGGACCTTCCCCGGCACACTGAGGAGGGAGATGCTCCTGTAGTTGTTACAGTCTGTGCGGTCCCCCTTCTTAAAGGAGGGGGACCCACGAGGGCATCCTTCCAATCCTGCAGAACCCATCCAGTGGTCCAGACTTATTATGATGTCATGTAAGGTAGTCTGCGCTCAAATGCCACCCTCCCTCAGCCCTTCGCTTGGGAGATCATCTCTGCCTGGTGCTTAACCTGGTCTCAGACTATGGATCGCCTTCTGTACTTCCTCAACAGAGAGCACCTCAGCCAGCCATTCACAGGGGGTGACTTTTTCTTCCAATATTTGAGGCACGACAGCCTCACCAGGGTCATGCCCACTTTGCCCGATGATGTTTTCCAGGCTGATGGATTTCCCCTCCTCAAGACCTCCCAAAAATGCTCACCAAATCTGCAAACCTGCTCCTTGGGGCCAGAGATCGGATCACCTTTCTTTCCCCTAATGATTGTGATAGGTGTGGCGCTGCAAGTCACTTTTTTGATGGAGTTAAAGAGTGATTTGTGATCACGGGCTACTGAGGCAGACCCCATCTCCTCAGCAACCCGCGACCACCACCCATCCTTGCAGCACCTCACGGCTCTCCGAACCTCCGAGCGAAGGCTGATATGGGATGCTGTAGACGGTGGGAGTGGGCCTGTCGCTTATCTCAGCCAATCTGAACACCTCCTCTGTCAGCCAGGGTCTCTGGGGAGGTCTGGACCGTGTACCCAAAGCAGCCATTGCAGCTGCATGAGCACAGTCCTAAATCTCGCACATTTACCCTCGGCATCAGGAGGAGTTGTAAGTGATGATGGAATTCTCGCTAGCAACTTTCATCAGCTAGCTGATACCAGGCCACTGTGAGTTTGAATAGACACACACACACACTCATACTCTCGTACACACACTCTTACACTCGTGCACGCTGAGGAAGTTGCCGATGCCATGGCCGGTGCCGTGGCCATAGTTGAGTCCAGCCTCCCACAGTGCATGCCTCGCCAACGTGTCCAACCGGGCCCCTGGGGCACAGAGACACAGACAGGCACACACAGATACAGACACATATATACAGAGACAGATATACAGAGGCAGATGGCACCTGCCAACCCTTGATGGATTCTGGCTCTAAAAATAAATTTGTGGGCAACTCGAGTTGAATAAAAATCTCTGAATACGTTGCCGGGGGAAACAACAGGTGGAGTGAGTGGCTCGTGCTGAATGAGTTGTGTGGTGGCTTCTTCCCCTGTGGCTGTGAGCACGAGCCCCGAGCCAGATTCAGACTTCTTGTGAGGCCAACAGCGCTGCACGGCTTGGTGCTGGCTTGGCATGGGAAAAAAGCCCCAGTGGAGAATACACCCGTGCCGAGATGGGCCTCGTGCTGGCTCGAATGCGGCAGTGGGACGGGCCACGAGTGTGGAAGGGGCGACTCACCGAACGTGTTGTCGGGAAAGATGGCCTGGCTGAGGTCGATGCTCCCCATCAGCACTCGCGTGTACGCTTCCTGTGCCGGGGTGGAGTGCCACGACCGTTAAGACAGAAACCGTGTGGACATGGTCGCAGGCAGTACCTACATCTCGATATGGATTTGGCTGTATATCTAACAAGCAAGGTTTGATTTTATTGGGGGATTTCCCTGGCTCTGATTTTAATTTTATATTATCTCTGAGACTGCATTTTTAGTTTTTATCTTCAAGTGGGATACATTCATCCCTCCCCCTGATAAGATATTTTGTATTTACATTGTCACGGTTGTGCCTGGTGAGTGCTTGAGTAGGAGCTTAGGGCTTGAGTGGCTGCTTGGGATTACTAGGTGATGGCAGCACCCACCTTCATGAAGTCCGTTGGGACTCCCCAGTGCAGGGTGCGAGTGATGTCCGTTGTTCCATCTCTGCAGGGGAGTTTGCGGGATACACGCGCGGCACAGGGCACATGAGAACTCGAGCCTTTGGGCCGCCAGTAGTAAGACGGTGGGGCGGCTTGTCAGAGCTGTGGTTGAATAGCTAGCCACAGCGTGGGACCCGTTTTTCCCATTGAACAGTGAGCGTGGCGCATATCTCCTGTCTTACAACTCTGAGCCAGTGGTGGAATTTCCACGTTCTTATGGCATCTCTCCTGGTCACCCAAACTCGCTTGTGTTCAGGCGGCTACTCTGACCATTTAGCCAGTGGTGCTGCTGGGATAAACCAAATTATTATATTTTTGATGTATAAACTCCTAGTGAGATGACAGACGGGAATAAATACACGAGAGTGAGGAATGTCGACGAAATATGATGCGGTGCGATGAGAGATGTCGACAAGGGACAGATTAAGTGATGAGAGAAAATAGTCAAGATAGCCACGAGAGAGATACATCTGTTTGTTGTGTTGATTAGAATTTTTATTCAAGCTTACGTTTAGTTCACTTATATATTTCTCATGAATCCTGGGACCCCTTGGGCTGCTTGGGGCCCCTGAGGTTTGCATATGCCTAGCGACGCCACTAGTGACAACCCACCGGTATTGACCTCCAGAGTCGAACAGGTACATCTCGTTGGTGGTCAGTTTCCGGTTCGTCTCATTGCTGGCACTGAAATGAAACGGCGTGTGGTATTGATCACTGGAACAAGTCACGGCAACTCGTGCACCCCACCAAACAACAAAGATCCCACGTAAAGCCTTTACAGACAGTCGGGGCAAGTGCTGTTAGCGAGCACTTATGAAGGTCGGAACTACACATAAGGGGGTTGGGTGGCCAGCACCACGCCCAGCCGCCTTTGTCTCACCAGTGGCGATGTTTTACGCACCGTAGAAGGTACTCATTTTAGGCTGAGTTAACCTAGGGGAGGCCCAGGACCGGTTCAAATAATCGTCACTGGTGTTGGCCATGAACGGGAATTAAACTCGGGTCACCAGGTTCATAGCGCAGCGTGCTAACTGCTATACTACCGCTCCCCGCTGAAAAACCGCGACACGACTGTACCCCACCACCACCACTGTGACCAGCACGACGTTTGTTTACCTGAAAAACGCCTCGCTCAGTCTCAGGACTCGCTTGCAGGACGGTACTGCCAAGCGTTCGCAGTAGGAGGCAATGTTTCTGCTACTGTTGCTACTGTGATCCCAATTGAGTCATTTTACAAAGTGAGTTTTCATCTTCTTAGCTCTTTCGTGAGAATGTTTTATTGTTTTATATATATTTTATTATTTTATTGTTTCCCTTCAACGTGACTTTACCGAAAGAGCTAAGAATATGAATTACTGCAGTCACGAAAGCTTTAAATCAAAATTTGATTTTTCATCATTGCGATATTTGTTTTGCCGACACAAGTGACCTTGCGTGATGCTGAGCTTTGAGAAGCCATAGGGACCCCGTGTCAAACGGTGGCAGAACGAACTCCACACGGAGGTGCCCCAGACAGGAATCGAACTCAGGCACCTTTCGCACTGTGACGTGAAACTATTACCACTACGCGGCTGCCACCATGCCACCCACAAGAATGATGTATCGCTGTACAACATGCGTATATTCGTAAGTATTTCATTCGTGGTGTGAACTCCGACAGCTGTCAAGGAATAATTACATATGGTCCTATGTACTGTGCTCTGCACGTCCAAGAATTGAGAAAATGCTTTGATCGATGTGACCAGTTCTCAAGAGGCCGAGAGCTGCTTCATATTGAATCGTCTCTACTCCCTGTTATAGACCGATGGATGCACAGAGCTCCTGAAGAACTGCACTGTGGCTCATCTCCTCTTAAGTCACCATCAAAAGAGTTGAGCGAATGTACCCGACTGACAACAGCAATAGTATACACAACAGTTGACCCGTTTCATTTTATTAGGGCTCTCTGCTCCCCGTGCCCCCCCCCCCCTTCTGGTCTACCCCCATCCTGGCCCCCTCTCCCCCCACCTCTCCAACTCGGAAGGGACCGGACCCGCCTAGCGCCACCAGCCCCAAGGCTCTCCCCTTCCCCGTCCCTGCTTCAGCGTCTGTCCCAATCCATTGCCACTCTCCCCCTGTGCACGTCTCTGGTTAGACCCTGGCCCTTGAAGCCTCCTCCAACTCGCCCTCTTCTTGGCCCTCGCGTAGGCCTCGGCAAGGTAAGGTAAAAGGTCAAATGCAACGAGCCTACCTTTTACCCTTACGCCATACAAATTACCCGATTACAGGGTAATTACTGGGGTACTACTACACATGAAAAAGGTTTATAACAGGTAAATGCTAGATAGAGTGCTTCATTCACATAGAATACTCTCGATTATTCCAATTTTAAATGGAGGCCACGGACTGCGCCACAGAGCTTTTAGTGAGCAGTAAACACAGTATTTACCGGGTAATACTTGGCGCTACCTTTACCCTGCCGGGTAATTCTTCCGCGCTACCTTTACCCTACTCTTTACCTTACCCCTTGGCATGTCGACACCTTTACCCTTTAACCCGGTAAAAAGGGTAAATTACCTTACCTTGCCGAAGCCTACCCTGGTGTGGGCCTCACTGATTTCCCCGACATGCAGTGCTCACCGCCTGCCTCTGCACTGGCGTCAGCCAGAGCCCTATGCAATCATTAACATCGCATAGACCTGGCTATGCCACCTTGCGACTTTAGCTGCACGGTGGTGCTCCTGTCGCTCATGGTGTGTTTCTGCGCAGCCTACTGCACTCTCCCTACCTGCACGTGTCTATTGTGACCCATTCCATAGGTGATTCAGTGCACAGCATTGGCCCTTAATGGCACCTGTAGTGCGCCAGCGCGCCGTTGAGTCCACTTGCAGAAATGGTCTCAAAACTGGGACCCTCGGAAAACGCTTGATTCCTGAAACAAAATGGCAACACATGTCGGTTAGCCTAACACGGCGTTCTCTTCCTCATGGAACTCCACATTGAGATTGTGTCCCTCTGTGGTTACTGTGCAGCAGTGACCTAAGACCAACACCAGTAACGGTTATCTTAACCAGTCCTGGGCCTCCCCTAGCTTGACTCAGCCTCAAATGAGTACTTACTGCGGTATGAAAAACATCGCCACTTGTATTTGCCGTATTCCCAAGTTCAACTCAGGCTTTGCTTAAAGGGCGGATATCTGTAGCCATCCGAGGGCTGGCGACAGGCCACGTGGTTGTTGTGAACGGGTCCCCTGGTGGTCATGACGACCTTTCTGCTGGAACTGCGATTGACGACGTGTCTTTAGAGGTTCCACGTTGAGTTCAATACACAAGAATGGAAATCTGGCACAAGAAGCATTTACCATCAACTAAAGATACCCGAACGTGCTACCTCGGGCCCCCTGCCTCTCACAGATGTCCACGGGCCAGGAAGAGAGGCAGCGTTCAACCCAGCAGTTACATGAAGAATGTTGCCGGGAGGCTGGCGTGATGTAATGATCAGCACACCGGACTTGCAACCCAGAGTTCGCCAGTTCGATTCCATCTCCTGGCAGTTGAAATTCCGGTTCAAGTTTTTAAAATTATTATATTCCCCTCCCCCTCTTCTGCACCGATGTCCACCCAGCAGTGTACATTGGTACACCACAGTTAGTCTACGAGTGGCATTTGGCGCGTGGTGAGGTAAAGTGTGGGTACTCCGGAGAGGTCCTTGTCCACCATTGGTTTGACAGAAGTGCACTGCGTGGCTTCCATCACTTGAACAATATTGGCTCATCGTGAGTGGGTGCGTGTGAGGAGACTGCATGAGGGGGTGTGGCCGTGGCTGATGGGTAATGGGTGTGGTTCTCTAGTGACTGGACTTCGTTTTAATCTGGAATAGTTGAGACCCCTGTGCCAGGGATTTTGTTGATTCTGATTCCGTCTCGCCTCACTCATTTTAGATATCGTGAACTAAAGCCATACTGATGACAGCGGTGCGTCCAAGCATCTCATCTGTATAAACCTGTGCATAGGATCGTGTTTCCTTGCCCTTTGCTGTTAATGCAGCCCACATCAGCCTAAATATTGATACAATAATACAGGACTATAATGGATGAGGCATTCCGTGTATTCTTGTGGTAGTGCCTTATGCTGACCATCCCTACTCCAAGCCAAGCAGCGTTCTGGATCCCACCGAGTAAGAATATGAGGCCACCCTGGCAGTGCTAAGGATACGGGATCGTATCAGAAGCTAGTGGAGGGGGTGGCGATGGTGGGAGGGGATGGGGTCTGGATGGTGCAGGAGGAGCCTGGACCCGCGCAGGAGGTCCAGGTGTAGCTTCCCCGACAGCTCCGTCACCGTCCCCTTGGGCACGTTTTCCTCCAGCCACACCATGTACTGGATCACCGCCACAGCATCGCGTATCTGTAACACAGACAAAGATCCCCCCCATCGCCTTCAACAGACTGCTATGGCAAGTGCTCTTAGTGAGCACCTATTGAGGCCGGTACGGAACATGAGGCGGTGGGTGGGCAGCACCACGCCCTGCTGCCATCGTGTTTTAAGTGACATTTGCACACAGCACCAGGAACTCATTTGAGGTCGAGTCGACCTAGGGAGGCTGACGATTGTTTCAGATATTCGTCACTAGTGTTGGTGGCCATGAATGGCAATCACACTCAGACTGCCGGGTTTGTAGCACAAGGCAATAACCACTACACAACCGCTCCCCATGTATCTGTAACACGCACGTGCACACACGCATACATGTTCATGTGCTTTAGGATGGCTCAGATGAAACAGAGTCTGCTAGACTGAGTCATTAACCATTGTAGTAGCAATAGAAGAGTGATAAGGATATGGCCGTCCACCAGTGAGCGAGTGAGTTTAGCGAGTCAGTGAGTGTTGGATCATCAATCAGCATGACTGCAGGGAGGTAGGAACTGGATAATCTACCCCAGATATGACTCAATCTAATTTGTTTTGTACAGCAGTGATAATTGCCCATTTCCTAGAGTTAGACCAATGCGTTGATGCCATTTTAGCCACATCGGTAACATAACCATTACTGAATATGACACTTGAGATATCGTGCCAAGCTAATTAAAGACGACAATTAATACACATGGCAGTATGGACATAAAGAATAATGGAGACAGAAGAAACCATGTGGATCAGAGAACAAATCCAAATGCGAACACATTATCTTGACTGTAAAGAAAAGAGAGTGGGTAGAAGACATCACTCGAGGGCATGATGGTTGGTGGTCGAGACTAGTGATGGAGCAGCAGCCAAAGGAGGGCACACACTCAGAAGGATGTCCACCGTGGAGATTGAGCGACCAGTTCGAAACAGTGAGAGATGGCGACAGCTTGGTGAGGCCTTCATCCAGCAGTGGTCAAATCATGGCTGATGATGATGATGATGCTGCCATGATTGTGAAGTAAACGACAGATTACCCAACGTCCCCCTACTCTGCTGTCGATGGCGTTGGCCTCTGAGAGGCTTAATAAAATACAGCCATATGAATGAGCGGTAGAGCGAGTGGCTCGCAATTGGGAGGTCGTTGATTCAGGGGTTGATTCAGTGCCATCGTCCATCTCGGAACGATAAAATAAGTACCACTTGGTGAGGGAGCCAACAGTGGTTGTTCTATGGAGAGACTCGCCCCAGGCATAGGAAAGTGGAATTTCCACCGCCGGCTTAGGGTTGTGAACGGGAGAGATGGCCACTGTTTCAATGCTCATGTAAGCAGGGCCTCCGTCACTTGGACGTCGTGTTGTCAACTGCAGGTGCCATCGACCCCGCCGCGTGCGGCTGTGCGGCGCCGCTACTCACATGCGATGACTTGAGAGCCTCCTGCTCGTGCGGGTTTTTGACGGCCTTGGTGAGCTGTACGGGGGAGAACTGCTCCATCACCAGCTTCTCCTGTAGTGCCACGGCCAGAGGGACGGGAGATGGCGGACTCAGCGCACACGCCACAATCACCAGCAGGGCCCGCCCCGACGGTCTCCCTGCAGCGTTGTGCACGTGTGTGGGTTCCCAGCTAGTCCTATATTTGCCAGAATTGGCCTCTTGTTGAGGAGGCAGCTGCTCATGGGAAACCTGTAAGTCTCTGCAGGACGTTACAAGTCCCTGGATTGCAGAGTAAACTAGTGAAGTCTGCACTCCTCCAGCAGATGAATATCAACACTGTCCACAAACTCTCTGCTGAAGCCCTCTCATCATGTCTAGCAGACCTTGACAATGGCATTTAGTTCCGAAAGATTGCCTCATATGCAAAAATATAATTAAAAGTCCCAGATTTTGTGAGTTCACCACTAAGGCTAGGTGCACATTTAGGCCATGTGAAGTGTCAATCGCTCTTTGACAGGAGTTCACGGGACAGAACCAGGTTGACAGACTGATACACATAGCAAACACATAATGACACATGTAAACACGTTAACTCTGCAGCTTTCATAATTAATATTGCACCTAACAAAAAAATAATAATACTTTTTTTATTTTATTGCACACACTGCCTGCTTTTGTATAAAGCACCATAGCCCGAAAAGTTGCAAATTTTGTGCAAGTGATTTTCAATGCAGTATATAAATTAGCTAAGATTGGAAACTTCTTGACTTTGCCTGGGAGACCGCTCCACCTGTGTGGGACCTTTACTCCGGGGGAGAGGAACGGTAGTGTTTTCATTTAGCGGACCGAAGAGCGCTGCGATCGTTGGACGCTCCCGACGCCGACGTGGGCTCTCACCTTGGGCAGCAGGCGGTAGATGCCGTAAGTAGTGAACTCCTCTCCGGCCCACACGCGCACGTCGCCCTTGCCGTAGGTGAGCAGGTCCGAGCGCACCGCGCCGTAGTCCCGCAGGCTCAGCGGCCCCACGGGAGACTCCGTGACGTTGAAGATCGCATGCAGCTCGTCGCCCACCTTGTGGAGGTTCAGGTACAGCCTGGAGGGAGCGGGGGGGGGGGGGCAGAAGGAGGAGACGCGAGGTGAGTCACTGCGATCAAAATAAGCCAGGACTGGTGGCACTGTTGGGGTGACTTCTAGGCTCAAGCTTACGACTGCCTTCGTACTCGGGGAGAAGGCTGCGATTTTGACACGGAAATCGTTTAGTTTGTTGCCCTTCCTCCGCACCTCCGATTCGCGTGGTTGGCTACGTATGGTTCGAAAGAAGTTCAACGTACAATATGTACAAGCACATGAGATCAGGCACTTCCTATCTTTACCCACATAGTCACTACGTAAATACGATTATGTAGTGTTTACGAACTAGTGCTCATCACTGATATATTGATTGGGGTTGGGCTGGACGTGCACAGCCAGAAGGGACGATGGTCGGCGTTGGAGACTAATGACAGAGCAGCAGCCAAAGGAGGGAACGCGACCAAGAGCTCGTCCACCGCAGAGATGAAGCCATGAAATCGGTTTGCATTGTTTGTTGCACCCCTCATAGTGAATAGCAACACATGGCTTTGCGAGGGCTTCATCCAGCAGTGGATAGATCATGACCGAGGACGGCGTGTGGCTACCTGGTTTCGTTGAGCGTGAGGAAGGCGTAAGCGAAGAAGAACGGATTGTAGGGGATGTCATTGCAACGGAGGTTGAACAGCCCTGCTTGTGGAAATGATAAGCACACACACACACACGCACACACTTTTGTTGGCGAGCAGTTATAAAGGATGACAAGGCATAGGTAGTGTAGCCAGTACCATGCCTAACCACATTTGTTTCCCCTATGCTGATGTTTACATACAACACCGGGTACTCAGTTAAGGCTAAGTCAACCTAGCGAAGGCCTATGACTGATTCAGATAATCACCAATAATGTTTGCCGGGGATGTTTAACCCGGGTTGTGGAGAGGTTTGTGATGTCCACGAGTGACCTGTTTGTGATGCAGCTGACCAACTCCTAGGCCAGGTTCGAAAACCAGTAGGTGGAGGAAGTACACTTCAGCACCCTCCTGGAGCCAATATCTCCTGGGCAATTCTTCCCCCCTCCTCACTTCCCTTTGATCTCAGGGTCCTGGACAAGATCCGCTTGGACTGGGCACGCGTGATCCTGATGACCCCTCTGCTGGGGCAGGAAGCCCAGGTTTCCCGAGCTGGTGGAGATGTCCGTGGATAGCTCTAGGTGGTTACTGCCGGATCACCCTGTGCCCTCCACACAAGCCTAAAGCTGTTCAGGCTCGCGGCACAAACAAATGGCAGGCGCTCAAGAAAAAAGGGTCTGGTCAAGGAAACGTCCAGGCTATGAGAGTGGCATCTGACAAACATGTCACGGGTATGATGTACCAGTACTCTACCATTGGAAATCAATTGGTATTTTGTTCCGTGATAAGAAGGTTCTTGTTGGAGATCATCCCATACCATTACTGCTGGAGTTCTTGCTTTGGTAATTTGACAATGGCTTGGTTGCATCGACAATCAATATTTGTTTTGTGTGAACAATGGTTATGAGTTTTGTGAAAAAATATTACATTAATTACCATGATATGATGATGCAAATTATGTTGATGATTGTGTTGGTTATGATGATAATATAATTATAGTGGTAATGGTGATGACAGTGATGCTGATAATTGTGTACATTTTTAGTTAGCGATGATGGTGATTGTGTTATTGATGATGCTAATTATGATTGTGCTATTCATGATGATGATGATAATGATGGTGCGTCACTCACAGGCACACTCATCTAGTGCGGACAGGATGAGAGCTGTGGGCTTGAGCGAGTGCTCCCGCATTAGTGAGCGCGTCTTCTCCACCTTCTGCACCCACGTGCTGCCTACACGCGCCGGTCATCACCATCACAACCACGATCACCACCATCCCCATGTTTACCACTACATTCATCATCACATGAATTATTGTCATCATAACAATCGTAATCATAATAATCATCACCATAGCATTCGTTATCATAAAACAACTATTATAGTCATAACAATCTATGATAATAGTGCGTCTGTCTGCATTTGTGTATGTGTCCATGCCGTGTCTCTGTGTGTGCATGAATGTCTCTGTTTTTACAACCATGTTTGGCAGCGACTCAATCATTATACATTTGTAACGAGCGACTTCCACAATGTGTCGTGTAGAGGGTACTCTTCTTTATTCTGTGTACAGCACGGCACAGGCCAACGTTATGGGCTTCCTCTCCAAGTACACACTTAGATATTACGTTCTACAGACTACACACACGGCCGATCACATGGCGGGTTCTGCCCGTCCGCTTCCGGTCTCGCCACTGGCTGACGACGTGCCGAGGTGGGCGGTGGAGCTCCGCCGGAGATCCGCCACGTGGCCGAACGACAGAGAGAGATGACGGCGAGCAACGACGCAGTCCGGATCCAAGACTTCACACACCAGCCCCGAGTCCTCCGCCTCCGCTTATATTGCCGCAGGTGCGGCTAGGCTGCGCCTCCAGCCACACCCTCTCGTGGAACTTTCTAGCCGGTTCTCGGAGTTTCTCGGCTGGCCCTGCCCTTCACCTTTGGCCTAGATACCTTCCCCTTTGGGGATTGGATAATGTTTATAATGGTGCCTGTACCCGTGCTTCCCTTTACCAACCAGTAGATCTCACTATCTCATTACAAATAGACTAAGTGTAAATTTCGATTTAAAGCTGTCGTGACTGCAAGGATTCATCTTATTTGGTTCTTTCGGTAAAGTCACGTAGAATGAGAATAAAATAATAAAATAAAATAAGACAATAAAATTCTCACGACGTTTCGGCCACAACACAAGTGGCCTTCTTCAGGTGAAAGAACAGAACTGTCGCGACGACGGAGCATCAATTAACGCTTTAAGATTCGCAGCGTCTTTTAAGCTTTAAGCTGCTAAGATTCGCAGCTTAAAAGATGCTGCGAATCTTAGCAGCGTTAATTGAAGCTCCGTCGTCCCGACAGTTCTGTTCTTTCACCTGAAGAAGGCCACTTGTGTTGTGGCCGAAACGTCGTGAGAATTTTAAGTCTTATTTTATTTTATGATTTCATTCTCATTCTACGTGACTTTACCGAAAGAACCAAAGAAGATAGACTAAGTGTGTTTATGTTTACGATTTACATCTGGGCCTGGGCAGGCTCCTATTTGGGCAGAATTCATGGCTCTAAGAGGCGAGAGTTAAAACACGGTACAGTTTGCACAACATTCTTGGCTTGACAGGATTTAGTGCGGCATCACTAGGCCGAGTCGAGGAAGAAGAATAATAGCAGTCCGTGACCAGTTTAGGACAAACAGAAGTTTAAAGAAGTTTTTTTTTTATGAGTAAAGGCTGCTGAAAAAGGATGGGCTTAGGGGACCGTCTAAAATAAATGTGAAATGACCACTTAGGTGGCCAAATCCCGTATAGCCACCACAAATCTGATGTTTTGTTTAGAACTGCTTTTTGTGTTTAGTTTGTTGTCCTTTCCCGGCATCTTTGCTTAGCACAGTTGACTACGTACAGTGCGACATAAGTTCAACATACACACAATCTTTAAAATGTAAAACCTCAAGTTTTCACTTATCATATAAACAGCTGCATCTGCTGCCTCTATGGGGTTTTGTTTAGAGTTAAATACATTTCTTAAATTACAAATATTCTGAGATATCGGTTTGATTGTCAACATCGGTTCAGCCGCTTGACTCTCAGTGGCAGGGAATGTGGGGAAGTGCTGCCCCATGCTGTGCAGAACGGAGCTCACGTTACGAGATCTTAGAAGTAGTTCTTCAATGCCCTCTACTGCCGGCCGTTCTCTAACACAAAGGATTGTAAGGCTCTGTGAGAGATGGCAGTGGATACATTGCGTCCCTGTCACCACACAGAGCACAATTGGAATACAGCTTTGGGGTGGCAGAACTATAAAGCGTCCCATTGACTTCACCTCAAAAAGGGTCACGAGGTAGCTTTACCAGTGAACTTGTCAGGTAGGTAGTAGATGAAGGTGCTGGATGTTGCTGGCCGCTCGGCGCCCCACACCACGTCCACCAGGTTGGTGTCCACAGGGATGAGCAGTCGGCCGGCTTCAGACAGCGGAGTGTAGAAGCTGTTCCACTGGTCTGTGGTCACACATTCAGTTCTAATGCTGGTGGTGTGGGCAAGACTGAGAGCTTTTCTTCATGCAGTACACATCACTGTTATCAAATGAAATAACAGGTTTCTATCGCTTTATTCGGGTTCAGTTTGTGCGATATCATGGTGTATATGCGGCTAACCTATTTCCACCCAAAATTCGCTCTACTATGCGGTTTCAAATCACTCTACATGCGGCTATGCGGTCGGACGAGGGACAACATTGCATGTGTGCGCGTGTACTGTGCACACGTGTGCTGTGCGTGTACAGTGCTTGTATTGTGCGTAGACTGTGCGTGAACTGTGCGTGAAAACCATGTGCTGTGTGCGTTACTCAGCAGGCAGTTCTCGTGTGGTGCATTGTGGGTGGGTGTCTGGGTTCGTTTTATGCAATTTCGCTTTGTGCGCCCCTTTTTTGGAATCACATCGACCACGTTCAGCGTGGGAAACCGCAATGTTCTGGCCTGCACGAATCCTCGTGTTGTGAGAGATATCTGCCATTGCTCCGTGGGGCCGACCTCATAGAGCGAGGTCAAGTGACTCGAGTAAGAGATAAAAATAAGCAAACAACACAAACGCCTTCCTATATCAGTCTCTCCATTAGAAGAAGTACAAATATTTGTTTACACATTCCATCAGCATGACGGCCATCTGGCAGTGCATTTATTGAGCAGCATTGTTTTAGTACTAGGGTCGGCAACCAAAATAGCCAGAAGAGCCTTTTTTTTCGAATTCGGTAACAAAAACCCCACAATATTTCAAGAGCCGCAATGCATGTGAATACAAGACGGTGGTCCTTAATAAATAACGCCACGAAGCAGTCCTGAAAAAGCCGCCGCATGCGCGTACAGAGCTGCAGGTTGGCGACTCCTGGTTGAGTACAAGAAAACTCTGCACCGGGTTTCGACATGCAATCTCTCATCAGCGGAGGTGGGCTTCTCTAATCTGGAAGATGTTTATTGGCAAGAACCCTCTCTGTTAGATGTGGATCTTGGTTCACATAACTTTATTATATTATAGACACCGCAATCATAATAAGCGTCGTCGTAGAGAATATAACAATATAACCAACTGGCTCCTCTCAATTATCCAGGGTAATGACGGGGTGGTGTTGTCCAGAGCGGCTCAGGAGCCAGGCTATGAAGTCACGGGATGGGGATAAGCCAGGGGCCCCCATTGCACTGTGGTGTTTATAATAATAATGCGATGCTACACACCTATGTATGTTGTAAAATCTACTGGTTTTTATTCTGATATTGCGTATGATGATGGCAGCAGCATTATGTTCAGCAGCTCGATGATGCCAATGTCGAGGTTTGCTGCTGCTAGCCATTATGAGAGCTGCCGCAGCAGAGCGAGAGTTCGTGTTGTGTTGCTGTTTGTCCTCCTCCATTGAAGGAGCGCAGACTGCAGTGGTTTACTATCTAATGTAAACTATAATTACAGAGCACCTTCACTCAAGGTGGATGACATAGCTTAGAAAACGGTGAGAGAACAATAGATTGGTTTATATAGCAGGGGCATACTACAAGAACTGAGGAATGAGTGAGAGCGAAAGAGGGTAGTTAGGGATCATGCAAGGGTAGGGGAGGGACGGTAAGGAGTGGAGGGGCAAGGGAAGGGGAAAGGAATGGGCAGTAGAGAAGAGGTGATGCTTCACGAGAGGAATGGAATGAGATTAAGGAGGAGGGGGGGGGGGTGCTTCATGTCCACTCGACTGCTGGCGGGACACAGCAGCGAGGTCACCACACCCGGCAGCAGCCCCAGTGAGCTCTTGAGGATGGACCCTCTACGCAGCGCGACTCACTGATGGAGAGGACGAAGGGGTCCACTCCCACACGGCCTCCCTTCGTTGTCAACTCGAGGATCCACTTCACGACATCAGAGGTTCCACCTGAAATTCAAGAGAGTGCGCAGATGTGCTCCCACCTGCTCCCTCACAGCCTCGCATTTGTTTAGTTGCTTGCAACCATCATATATAGCTGAATACAGCCCCAAAGGACCAAAAACGCCAAACACTGCACAATGCATTGTACTAAACAGGACCGACTGCACCAATGTATTGTGTTGAACAGTACTTGTTGCACCAATTTATTGTACTGAACAGTACCTGCTGCAGAAATGTATTGTGCTGAACAGTACCTACTGCACCAATGTATTGTGCGTTCCAGAATTGGATTGCGGTTTTCGGGGTAATTCTATATTCTAATAAGGATATACATGTAATAAAATAAGCCAACCATGCTAATCGGAGGTGCGGGGCTATGGTGTGCCTCCCCGGTGGTTACCATTGTGCACCCAGCAACAATAGGATTAATCGAAATATATGTGATCGTAATGTTGTGTATAAATCGAGAATCGAAATCAGGACCATGTTGAGCAGCGCATCAAAAATATGCACACACAAAAAATCCTTGACAAAATGAATGTCTCTCGAATGAGGTTGCGTGACCTGACCCAGGGTTAGGGTAGAGATTGGTGCGATTGCTCGCTAGACACCTTTTGATGTCTTGCAAGAGGTGTTGCATTTCAGCATCACCACCATACTACTACAAAACAAGCTACCAAAGGGATGTGGGGCTCAGTGGTGTTCAGTAGAGGGCAGTGCATATTGCTCTCGTCTACTCCACTGCCTCCACATGAACGCTTTGTGCCTTCACCAAACCGCACAGACCAGCATAGTGAAGCATGCACAAGCAACGGCCATAACTGACAATTAGGCATGAGGAGGTTTCCATCCAGCAGTGATCTGACACAAACTTTTCATTACTATTGTTGTTGTTTTGTTGTTGCTGTTGTTGTTCTACCTTTGTGCAGTTCCCAGTTACAGTCCATCTGCCTCTCGGCTTGAATCCAGTACCGGCTGTCGGTCCACAGTCCGGCTTTTGTCTTGGCCACCACCGCTATCCCTGCTCGAGGAATTAGGGAGGAAGCAGAGACAGCACCGCGCTCACTCGGTTAAATGGAAAATGCGTTTATCGCTGCATCATTATGGGCATAAATGCTCTTGATATATTTTTTTATTACTACGCTTAATAATGATTTACATTTGTAAGGCGCATTTTATCTATTGACCCCAATGTGGCGTCTATAGAACGCAGGAAATAAACAGAAGCAGGGTAAATGGTCAGAACGAGGTGCGGGCTAAATGCCAATTTTAAAAGGTGAGTTTTTACGACCGAAAAATATTTATTGAGCAACTCTGATTGCCTTATTAGCAAAGGCAAAGCGTTGTTCCAAATTTCAGGAGCTGCACAGTGGCAGAATCGTGATCGGCCCAGGAACGGAGCCTTGACCTCGGAGTTCTTAGAAGGCAATCTGAAGATTTCAAGGACCTCGTTGGAGAGTCAACAGGGATCATCAGTTCCTGCAGTGTATTGCTCGTTTACCCAGGCAAGCCTCATTGAGTCTCAAGACTTTTTCAGGAGGGTCCTGCTACATTTTAGCAGCAGGAGGTGGTGCTGATGCGTGTGTATAATCCTAATTAAGTAATTTCCAGTTAATGTTTCAGCATTGAGATGTTTCAGCATTGAGATGTTTGCCTAGTGCCAGATATAGCCAGTCATGGTGGACTGACTGATCGGGATGTTTTAGCTTAGCCAAATTGCTGACATTTGTTTCAGGTAAAGCCACATCTTTGCTTCCACATAGGAAAACATTTACATCTAAGTTTTTGATCGTTGGGCTCTGTAAATTTGGGAGGCAAAAGTTTTTCCAAAGTTGATAGTATAACGTTTTGGAATATTGTTGATTGTGCCTCCTTTGCCAGTAGCTTGGTGTCACAAAATGTCAACTTTTCAAACTTCCAGCTTTTGACCCCTGACATTTTGAAGAAAAAACCCCACCACCTCGGACCATCCAAGAGGCCCCCTCTTCTTCTGACGCACAGCAAGTGTGTGTATGTTTATATTTACATCAAGCTTTAATAGTTTGAGAGCCATGCGATAGCTTAGGGAGTAGCGTAACCAACACTGTCCAGTCTGATAATAAAGTATTAAAGCTTCGTGACTGCATAAAATTATTCATTGTTTTTTTAGGTAAAGTCACGTATGTAGAAATACAATAAATTATATTAAAACAAAAAAGAATCACGACGTTTCGATCACAACGCAAGCGATCTTCATCAGGTGTCAAGAAATTCGTGGTCCGCCAGGAAGTGTCTAACTGTGTTGTTGGCCTGACTGGATGTGCTTCACATAATGTTTTTTCAGGTTTGTTGAATTCTCGTCTCTCATCTTTTTGTTGTATTTACCTCCGTGATTTGTTCTTGACACCTGATGAAGATCGCTTGCGTTGTGATCGAAACGTCGTGATTGTTTTTTGTTTTAATATTATTTTATTGTATTTCTACATACGTGACTTTACCGAAAAAAACAATGAGTACTGTCCAGTCTGCCAGAGCGGGCGTACAATGCGGTTGTTTGCGATCCGCTCCATTGTGTGGGTGCGGGTGGCCGCGGTCACCGCGCCGTGAGTCGTCATTCAATGTCCGGCTCGTGGCCTGCCCAGTGACCGTGCAGGCGCCGTCGTGAAGCGGCTCATGCAGCCACCGCGGTTTTCTTAGCAGATCAAAGTTGTGCGGATAAACGATGATATCACTTGGAGCGCACCTTGCGGTACATCTCTGAAACCGGATGGAATCACTCGTGGGTGCTTTGCAAGTCTGAGGCCAGCGAGCATCACTGGTAAACGGACCAACAGCTTCGATTTCACATTTCATATTCCTGTGCAGAATGTCAGATTTTATTTGCCTTGGAGCAATGTATTTGTATTTAAGTTGCAATAATAGAGAATGTGTCAAATGTATGAATTCCTTCTATTTTTAGATTTTCCGATTCAGATCGTATGACGTGTAACATTTGCTATGAACGATTTTACATTGCAAATCTTCTTCAAGGACAAAAAACAATAATGGTTCACCGAATTAAGTAAATCCCCGAATTAAAGCCATGTCCAGCCAAGTAGCGTGCACTCAATACAGTATTTGAGAGCGAATACTTCTGGTGAAAAAATTCGCACCAAATTATATTTCTCGAACAATAGCAACGCTAAGAACTTTACATTTCTAGGCCGATTTAAACTGAAGCTCACTTAGGTTATATCCCACGCAAATGCGCGGCCAGTGCTAGTGTGTTATAGCTTGAAAAGTTCCTGTGTAGGCGAGCCAGATTGCTGTGAAAGTTGAATCGTGTTTCGGGAGAGACCTCTGGTATGTGGCAGACTACCATGGAGAACATAATTAAATAACACAAGGCCAACACGGCCATCTGTGCTCCAGTGGTCCCATGATACATCACAGGGATTAAACGCACGAGGGGTTCATATCGAGTCTCTCTCGGTGAGCTGGATGTGGTGTCCTGCAAAATATCGATGGAGAAAAATGTATCGCCGATTGTCAATTGTGTTTAGGATTGTGCCAGAAGTGGCATTGAAGCTCTTTGCTGCATCGGTGAATGTTCTAAACTCACCCGAGGAGCCAGTGAACCCAGTAATCCACGCCATGCGTGCGTCACGGGGAGCGATGTATTCACTCTGTCAAAGATAAACACAAAGATCCCCCATGTAGCTTTTAACAGGCTGAGGCAAGTGCTGTTAGCGAGTAGCACCTATGAAGGCTGTCACTGCGCCCGGCCGCCTTTGTCTGCCCAGTGCTGATGTCTACACATCACACCAGTTACTCATTTTAGGGTAAGTCGACTTAGGAGCCGTCCATAAATGACGTCACGCACCTAGGGGGGCGGGGGGGTCAGACATTTGTGACGATGTGTGATGAGGGAGGGGGTTTGAGAAATGTGACGTCACATCAAAATGCGCAACTTTAAATAAATATAGACAACACGTTCTACTTAATTAAATCGACTTTTTAATAAATGTTTTCTCCTACAACATCAGAGCGCAGAGGCACATTAAATACGCACTACAATGACACTAGTTTAAAGCGATTTGAAGCATGTTTTATATATTTTTTTTGGGGGGGGGGGGGACGCAGAGCTTTGTGACGTCATATTTGAGGGGGGATCTAACTTTTTGTGACGCCGTGTGACGAGGGAGGGTGGGGGTCAAAAATCGTCCAAAATCGCGTGACTTCATTTATGGTCGGACCTTAGGGAAGGCCCAGCACCGATTAACATAATCGTTACTGGTGTTGGCCATGAGCGGGAATCGAACTCGGGTCTTTGCTGGGTGTTTTTGCAGTGCAACGCGCTAACCGCTGTGTCACCACTCCCTCTAGCACACGCCCGCACACGCATGCCATGTGGGCTATTCACTGCCCGTGCGCCCATGTACACGCACACACGCTGCTGTCTCCTACACTCTAGTTCAGCGGCCCGCATCATTTGGTCGGTTGTACCCCTGGGGCTGCGCATGACATCTCTAGGGGGTGATGCCTATCGTGGCGGTGATCACGTGCTGTTAAGAACAGTGCTGTTACGTATTCAATTAATTACATGCAAACTTGATTTGAAGCTTTCGTGACTGCAGGAATTACTCTTTGGTTCTTTCCGTAACGTCACGTAGAAAGAAAATAAATTAAATAATAGAATACGACGTTTCGATTGCAACACAAGCAGTCATCAGGTAGAACTAAATTTGAGAGAGAGACAAAACACAGACACGGAGACACACACAGACAGATACACAAGCAGAGAGAGGGACAACACACTCTGTGTCTATGTTGTGTGTTTCTCTCTGTGTAGCTCTGTGTGTCTCTCTCTGCTTGTGTGTCTGTCTGTGTGTCTCCATATCTGTGTTTTGTCTATCTCTCAAATTGAGTTCTACCTGATGACGACTGCTTGTGTTGCAATCGAAACGTCGAATTCTATTATTTATTTTATTTCTAATTGACTTTACCGAAAAAATCAAAGATTAATTACATGCAGTCATCGACTTACGAACACGCGATTTACGAACACCCGCATTTCGGAACCAGCTTCCACGAAATAATATTTCTACTTAACATAGAATTAAAATGCTAAGCCAACCTCGAAACTATTTTGTTCAACGGAGAGATCCTTTGCGAAATGTAATGAGTCAGCCTTCCGCTGGGAGTGTTTGTGTGTGTACATGCATGCGCTTGCACATCTTTGTGTGTGAAAGAGTGTGTGTGTGAAAGTGAGCGTGTGTATGAAAGTGAGCCTGTCTGTTAAACTGCATGTGTGTGTGTGACAGTGTGTGTGTGAGAAAGTGAGTGTGAAAGTGCATGGGCAGTGGCAATGTAGCGGTTAACTCGCTGCGCTATAAACCCGGCGAACCGAGTTCCATTCCCGTTCGCGATCACCAACACTAGTGACAATCATCCGAACTGGTCCTAGGCCTCCCCTAGATCGACTCAGCCTGAAATTAGTACCTGGCGTGGTGTGCATGTGTACCCGTGTGTATGTATGTGTACCCGTGTGTGTGTACGAGAACGCGTGTGTGTGTGGTTAACACCGCGAGCGTTGGCACCATGTGAGAGTCGGAGGCTGGGATGATGTAGACGTCCAGGTTGTAGGAGACATTGTTCATCAGCTGACGCAGACCTAGGAGGCGCTGCTGGGTGACGGTAACGGTCGGGGGCAGGAACTGCGCGGTACAGGCAGGGGGAAGAGCAGGCATCATCACTCGCACAAAGACACGACACCCCGCATAGCCTTAAGAATGTTGAGGCAAAGATCTGTATGCAAGTTGAACTTCTTTCCCACCGTACGTAGCCAAGCATGCTAATCGGAGGTGCGGGTAGTGCCTATGAAGGCTAGCATGGCACACGAGGAGGTGGGTGCCCAGCACCACGCCTGGCCACCTTTAACTCACCGCACCAGTACTCATTTGAGGCTGAGTCTACCTAGGGGAGGCCCAGGACCGGTTCAGATAATCATCAATGGTATTGGCTGCGAGCGGGAATCGCACTCGGTTCGCCGGGTTTGTAGCGCAGTGTGCTAACCACACCGTCACAGCTCCCCACATGCAACTCGGAGAAAGGCACACATCACCCAGACGCACATCGCATGTCTGCTGGACTGTGCTACTGTGCCGTTTAACTGCATCCTGTGATTCTCACAACATTTCGATTGCAACACAAGCAATCATCATCAGGTGTGAAAACCACAGCAAGAAAATTTGAAGAAAGTGGCGTTTTTTCCCTAACAGTAGCACCACTGATAGCAACTAGCGGTTGTTCAGACGGACGAGTCCATCTAAGCTCGGCACGGAAGAGCGGGGAGAGAGGAAGAATTTAATGCGGTCGGAAATACACCGTAAACGTGAACACAATCAATTAAGACTCGAAATGGTTTATCACATCTTTCCAATGATTGCTAAGCCAGAATCCATCTTCTCGGTTGAAATTGTCTTTGTGTTTGTATATGTGGATAGCCTCATGAACGAATCTCTCGTGGTAGCCAGATGTCTTGCAGATAACCTCTGTCTTGGAGAAGTCAATGTCATGCGAGCCCACTGAATTATAACAGTGGTCTGCTACTGTTGAGGTGTTGGTCCTACCGTGTTTTAGGTCTGCTTTGTGTTCACGTTTGCGGTCCGAGACATGTCGTTTGGTTTCTACAATGTAACTGCTACCACAGAGGCAACTTAGTTTGTAGACGCCAGGGTACTGTATGTCTGGAATCACATCTTTTACAGACGGGACCAGATCACGGATTTTATGTACTGTGTTGAAACGAACCTGGATCTTGTGTTTATTCAGGATTTTGGAGGTCTTTTTTGTGACCCCCGCAATGTAGGTTAAGGTGATGGTTTTGAACGGCTCCTCAAGAGGGTCCTTCTTCATGGTTGGAGTGATGGCTTTGCGGATTGTGTAGTCGGAGTAACCATTAGCCTTGAGAGCTTTGTGTACGAGCTTGAGTTCACTGGCAATGTGTTCCTGGTCGGAGATGCATTGGGCTCTATGGTGTAGAGTCTTGATGAGGGAATTCTTCAGGGATGGATGGTGGTGGGAATCAGGTTTTAGGTAAGCTTTCCTATAGACAGAGTGGCTTATTGAGCCATCAGGGGTCTCTTTTTTATTAGGACATCCAAAAAGGTAGCTTGCCATCTTTTTCGACTTCCATGGTAAATCTGATGGCTGGGTGTATGGAATAGAAGTGGTCGAGGAATTGGTCTAGAGCAGGCCGGCTATGTGGCCAGGAGACAAAAGTGTCATCCACGTACCTCTTCCATAAAGTCGGGCGTAGAGTGGCAGTCTGGATGGCGTCAGTCTCAAATTTCTACATTAAAACGTTGGCTACAACCGTAGATAGAGGGGAGCCCATTGGGGTGCCCTCAGTTTGTTTGTAGAAAGTTACATTCCAGGTGAAGTATGTATTGGTTAAGCACCGTCTCACCCGGGGGGGGGGGGGGGGGGGGGAGGGTACCTCAGTGTTTAGTCCTTGATGAACCAAGTCTTCAATGATTGCGATTGTGTCAGGTACAGGAACTTTGGTGAATAAGGAAACCACATCAAAACTAACAAGCAGGTTGTCTGGGGACAGGGAAATACCCTTGATTGTCAATACCAGGTGAGTAGCGTTTAGTACCGCAGAGGTGGTTTTTCCAGTGAAAGGCCGCAGGATTTCAAACAAAAGACGAGCCAGTTTGTAGGTGGGGGAGTTGATAGTAGAGACGATGGCACGTAGGGGTGTATCTTTTTACGCATCTTTGGTAAGCCATATAATCTTGGTGGCATGGCAGCAGAAGGTTTCAACGAGAACTGTTTGGTTTGATCAATTAATGCGGTTGAATCAGAAATGATTTTGTTGGTTTGTATGACGAGACTGTTGGTGGGGTCTCTTTTATTTTTGTATAGCTGCCATCGTTGAGTAGTTCTTGAATTGTGTTGTTATATTCTATTTTATCCATAATGACAGTGGCATTGCTCTTGTCGGCTGAGAGGATGACAATGTCATCCCTCTATTTTTAATTTATATAATTCAAAACGCTCCTCTTTGCTGAGGTTGCTAGCTGGCATCTTAGCGTTTTTGAGGGTTGCAGCTATTTCAGATCTTGCTACGTCTGCATCGATGTGACCCAGGCCCTTGAGAGCCACGTCTACTTGGGCAATGATATCATTAACTGGAATGTGTCTAGGTGTGACTGCAAAGTTTAGCCCTTTAGCTAAAACTGATTTCAGACCATCGGAAATTCGAACTGTTACTGCGATTAATTACGACTTTGTTAATGTCTAGCTTTTGGTGTGTGGGTCCGGTCTTTTGTTGGAGGAGATTAAATTTGGAAATCAAGTTGTCCTTACATTTGGTCGACATAGTGGCATCTGAAGAGGCAGTCATATTGTCTACATGTTCCCAATCCGATGTGGACATTGTTGCCATCAATGATAAGCGTGATTTGTAGTGTCTTGTCTAACTGATCTAGTTCGATGCGTATAAGTATGATTATCTCTGAGATAAGAGCTCAGTTAGTTCTTGACAGAATTCGTTTCGCATTAGAAGACGTTACAGCAGCAGAAGTCAGTGTAAATGCGATTGGTATTACCCGAGTCGTGGCATCTCTTCATTGCCCAAGTAGACGTGGCTATCAAGGGCCTGGGTCACATCGCTACAGACGTAGCAAGATCTGAAAACGCTGCAACCCTCAAAAACGCTATGATGCCAGCTAGCAACCTCAGCAAAGAGGAGCGTTTTGAATTATATCAATTAAAAATAGAGGAATGACATCGTCATCCTCTCAGCCGACAAGGGCAATGCCACTGTCATCATGGATAAAATAGAATATAAAATTCAAGAACGATTCAACGATAGCAGCTATACAAAAATAAAATAAAAATAAAAATCTCCAAATTATTCAATAAACACAAGATCCAGGTCCGATTCAACACAGTACATAAAATCCGTGATCTGGTCCCGTCTGTAAAAGATGAGATTCCAGACATACAGTACCCTGGCGTCTACAAACTAAGTTGCCTCTGTGGTAGCAGTTACATTGGAGAAACCAAACGACATGTCTCGGAACTCAACCGTAGCAGACCACTGTTATAATTCAGTGGGCTCACATGACATTGACTTCTCCTTGACAGAGGTTCTCTGCAAGCCATCTGGCTACCATGAGATATTCGTTCATGAGGCTATCCACAAATACAAACAGACAATTTCAACCGAGAATATGGATTCTGGCTTAGCAATCATTGGAAAGATGTGATAAACCATTTCGAGTCTTAATTGATTGTGTTCACGTTTACGGTGTATTTCCGACCGCATTAAATTCTTCCTCTCTCCCCGCTCTTCCGTGCCGAGCTTAGATGGACTCGTCCGTCTGAACAACCGCTAGTTGCTGTCCGTGGTGCTACCGTTAAAAAAACGCTACTTTTTCAAATTCTCTTGCTGTGGTTTTCACACCTGATGATGATTGCTTGTGTTGCAATTGAAACGTCATGATAATTTTATTTTTATTTTATTATTTCCCTTCTACGTGACTTTACCGAAAGAACCATTAATATGAATCCCTGCTGTCACGAAAGCTTTAAAACGAAATTTATTATGGACAACTTTAATTGCGCCCTGCACAGAGCTTTCGGCACACACATCAAACACAGGCAATTCACTTGTATGTGTAGTGAGCGACTTCTGCGACACGTCAAGTAGAGGGTACTTCTTTATTCTGACACAGGCACAACACGGGCCAACCTGATCCTTCTCACTCCAAGTACACACTGAGGTATTATGTCTACTGGCTACACACATGGCCGACCACTCGTCCCGGTTCCACCACCCTTACCTCGGCTACGCCGCTGTCTGGCGGAGTGACGAGGATGGCAATGGAAGCCCGCAGGAGATGTTCAACGTGGTCAGACGACAGAGAGATGACGGCAAGCAGCAACACAGTCCGGACCCAAGAATCCACACACGAACCCCGAGCCCTGGTCTGCCCCTGCTTATATCTCTCCAGGAGTGGCTAGGCTCCGGCTCCAGCCACGTCCTATCGTGGAACCTTCGTGCAGGTTCCCGAAGCATCTCGGCCAACCCTGCCTATTACCTTTGCCCCAGATACCTCTCCCTTCCAGATAGGATGTTGACTTTAGCAGTGCCTGTACCCGTGCTTCCCTTTTCCCACCAGCAGGTGTCATCATGTCATTACATCACCCCCCCTCCCCCCCATAATAATAATAATAATAATAAAAATTGCCGTTCCGGCTAATACTAAGATAACAGGTAAGTGCACCCATGCATAGGTTAAGTACGACAAAAAAGAGTTATCAAGGCAGAACAATCCGCAGAACAATTAAAACACCTAATTAGGAGGGAACAAAGAGAGAACGAACTGTGCAAAGGAACAAGACAGAGGAAAGAGAACACAACACGACAACCAATTACAACCACTCCGCCGTTTCCGAGCATACGCAGAACAATGAAATCAACGGAATCGCAAGCTTTTCGACCGAGTTCGCGATGCCGGTCCGTCGATGGGGACAGTCTTCCTCTCTTGCTCGGGCGATGTGCACACCACCGGAACCCCTGGAGAAGCAGGTCGCAACACAGGTGGCACAGGTGCAGTAGGCTCGGCGGCAGCAGGCACCTCCTCGCTTCCGGCGAGGCTTCGTGGTCCGTCCACGGTCACAGGGCTCGGATGCTGTTGGC